CTGGGGACGGGTGAGGGGATGAGGATGAGGAGGCAGAACTGCCGAACCCACCCCTCCAGAGCACGGGATTCATTGCCAAACGCAGCCCCCTGCTGCTGGATGGAACGCAGGAGGCCTGGCCGGGAGCCGGGTTATCCTCCCCGCACTTTGCTCATTTTTGGTTTGACGCCTTTGACCTCCTAATTTCTCGTTCTGCCCTTAATAAAGCGGCGAGCTGGGCTGGAATTCGGGTTTCAACATGCAGGGGAGCGATTGCAGAGCTGGTGTGAGGTACCAGCACGAGTAATTAAAGCAAAATGCAGATAAACCAGCGTGTTCTGAGCCCTGGGTGGTTTGGAGCGGTGCGAAATCCAACGTGCCACCGCTCTGCAGGGCTGAGGAGTGTTAAAAATACAGCATTAAAAATAGGCACCGAGGCCTTGGGGAGCGCCAGGAGGATTCCAGGAGCTGGGACACACGAGTTCCGTTTGCCCCGTGTGAAAAAATGCCTGTTTTATGATCGGCTTTTCGCAAAAATTAAAATAAATATTATATATATTACGAAATTGTGCTGTATTGATTTTCGTAAGTAGTGTGTTAAATGTAGTTTTAAGTTATAACAATGTTAAAATAGAAACTGTGCTATGTAAGGTACTTTTTTAAAGAGAAAAAATAAAGTCCTCACACCAGATAGCAGCCACAAAACACCTAAATCTTTAAAAAAAAAAGAATTTATTGCTCCCTTATCAGAAAAAAACTAATTTCTTCCTACCTCGCTCAGCCCTAAAGAAGCCGTCAAGATTAAGAAGAAGTTAACACTGACCAAACAAAATCCTTTGTTTAAATAGAATTTATACATCATGTATGAAATGCATGAATATGCAACAAACTATTACTTTTAAAAGTTAATCGTCTGTTAACGTGTGTCCTTTTTTAGGCTTATTTTACCCAGAAAAAGGTACCCAAACCATCCATAACTCTTTGTTGTCTATTACCCTAACCCTAATTGTCCACATATTTATTACTCTAATTTCATTACTATTTTTATAACCATTTTATAACTATTAAACTTTTAAAGTTTTAAAAACAAGTTATTGGCATTTTTCACAAGAAGAAGTTGACACCGACCAAACAAAATCCATTGTTTAAATAGAATTTATACATTGTTTAAATAGAATGTACATATCATGTATGAAATGCATGAATATGCAACAAACTATTACTTTTAAAAGTTAATCCTCTGTTAACGTGTGTCCTTTTTTAGGCTTATTTTACCCAGAAAAAGGTAACTCTGTCCCTAACTCTTTGTTTTTATTGTCTCATATTATCCTAAAGCTCATTGTCCAAATTTCTATTACTCTCATTTCATTACTATTTTTATAACCATTTTATAACTATTAAATTTTTTTAGCTTTAAAATTTTAGCTTTTTTTTTCATAAATCCTTGTTTCCCTCCTCCCTTTTCCATTTTTCCCTGGCAGGTGGAGATTCCTGGATTCCCAGAACAGCAGAGATCCTGCCCTCAGCCCTGACCCTGTGGATTTTTTATTTGTATTATTCCTTATTTATTTGTATCATTCGCAGCTCGTTAGGAGAAATTAAGCCAAAGAAAGCACAAGGGGATGGAAAGAAAAGAGCCCAGCCCAGGAACCCCCACTGCCAGGTCAGGGTGGAGGTTCTGCTTTTACAAACGAATTAATCTGGGTTTAATCCCAGGTTTGGCTGGGACAGCAGCACCCAAACCAGGACGAAGGTGACAATTAATTTATTGAAGGTGACAATTAATTTCTTGAAGGTGACAATTAATTTCTTGAAGGTGACAATTAATTTCTTGAAGGTGACAATTTATTTGATTATTTTATTTATTTTATGGGGCTTTGTCACCCCCACACTGAGGCCCAAACCTCCTCCCCAGGCATCCAGAGATTTTTCCAGAAATTTTTCCAGAGATTTTCCAGAGATTTTTCCAGAGATTTTCCCTGAGCCATCCCAGCAGCTCCAGCCCAGGCTCTGCAGTTTCTAAAGAAAAATTCATTTTTCTGCTGGGGGTGAAGGGGACCCTGTGTGGGCACCAAATCTTTGATTTTCTCTCTTTTCAAAGGCTCTTCCATCACATATTCATCTGCAGCCAGGACAAGGCATTTTAGGCATGCTGCTACACGGGGTTTACATCATTTTATGCTGGGTTTTGCACTGGTTTGCACATTTTGCACTGTTTTACGTGGTTTCACCATGTATTTTACAAATTTGACGTAGCTTTACATTGGTTTTGTACTGTCTCCCATCCCTTTTGCACTGTTTTGCACTGTTTTAATACCAGTTTTGCAATGTTTTACTTATCTTTATGCCAATTTTGCACAGTTTTACACCATTTAATGCCAGTTTTGCACCGTTTTACATGGTTTTGCACTGTTTTACATGTTTTTTACACCATTTTGGTGCTGTTTTACACTGGTTATGAAATGTTCTACACCCATTTTTTGTGGTTTCACATTATAGTTTTGCACTGGTTTACATTTTACATATCTTTATGCCAATTTTGCACTGTTTTACAGGGGTTTGCACCATTTTGGTGCTGTTTTACACTGGTTATTTACACAGTTTTACACGGCTTCACCATGTGTGTTGTTGTACAGCAAATTTGACATAGCTTTACACTGGTTTTGCACTGCCTCAAAGTATTGCATTGGTTTAAAAGCAGTTTTGCAGTGTTTTATATAGCTTTATGCCAGTTTTGCACTGTTTGACACCATTTAATGCCAGTTTTACACTGTTTTACGTGTTTTTTACACCATTTTGGTGCTCATTAACACTGGTTGTGCACTGTTTTACACCTGTTTTTCACGTTATAGTTTTGCACTGTTTTACATGGTTTTTACATCATTTTTGCATGGGTTTTAAACCGCTTTTGCACTGTTTTACATGTTTTTTACACCATTTTGGCACAGTTTTACACTGGTTATGAAATGTTCTACACCCATTTTTTGTGGTTTCACATTATAGTTTTGCACTGTTTACATGTTTTTTACGTATCTTTATGCCAGTTTTGCACTGTTTTACACCATTTTATGCCAGTTTTACACTGTTTTACATGTTTTTTACAGCATTTTGGTGCTCATTAACACTGGTTATTTACAGTGTTTTACACTGTTTTACACCTGTTTTTCACATTCTAGTTTTGCACTGCTTTACATGGTTTTTCCACCATTTTGGTGCTGTTTTACACTGGTTATGCACTGTTTTACACCTGCTTTCCACATTACCCTTTTGCACTGCTTCACATATTTTCTACACATTTTTTATGCTGTTTTACATTGGTTATTTACACTGGTTATTCACAGTGTTTTACACTTGTTTTTCACATTATAGTTTTGCTCTGCTTTGCATGTTTTTTACACCATTTTGCTGCTGTTTTACACTGGTTATTTACAGTGTTTTACACTGTTTTACACCTGCTTTCCACATTCCCCTTTTGCACTGCTTCACATATTTTCTACACCATTTTGGTCCTGTTTTGCTCCTGTTTTTTACATTATAGTTTTGCACTGCTTCACATATATTCTACACCATTTTGGTCCTGTTTTGCTCCTGTTTTTTACATTATAGTTTTGCACTGCTTTGCATGTTTTTTACACCAATTTGATGCTGTTTTACACTGGTTAATTACAATGTTTTACACTGTTTTACACCTGGCTTTCACATTATAGTTTTGCACTGCTTCACATATATTCTACACCATTTTGGTCCTGTTTTGCACCTGTTTTTTACATTATAGTTTTGCACTGCTTCACATATTTTCTACACCATTTTGGTCCTGTTTTACACCTGTTTTTTACATTATAGTTTTGCACTGCTTTACATGTTTTTTACACCATTTTGGTGCTGTTTTACACTGTTTTGCACCTGTTTTTTACATTATACTTTTGCACTGCTTCACATGTTTTTTACACCATTTTGGTGCTGTTTTACACTGTTTTGCACCTGTTTTTTACATTATAGTTTTGCACTGCTTCACATATTTTCTACACCATTTTGGTCCTGTTTTACACCTGTTTTTCACATTATAGTTTTGCACTGCTTCACATGTTTTTTACACCATTTTGGTGCTGTTTTACACTGGTTATTTACAGTGTTTTTACACTGTTTTACACCTGCTTTCCACATTATAGTTTTGCACTGCTTCACATGTTTTTTACACCATTTTGGTGCTGTTTTACACTGGCTATGCACTGTTTTACACGTTTCTTACACCATTTTGGTGCTGTTTTACACTGGTTATTTACAGTGTTTGACACTGTTTTACACCTGCTTTCCACATTACGGTTTTGCACTGCTTCACATACTTTCTACCCCATTTTTGTGCTGTTTTACCCTCACTCCGCATGCCTTTCCCCCCCTTTTCCTCTATTTTACATCCATTTCTCCCTCTCTAACACCCCATTTACAGCGGCCCTACACCGAGCCCATGGCCCTGCTGTCACCCCCCGTCCCCCAGGGCCACCTACAGCCCGGGCTCGCCCCAAAACAACAGCCACAAAACACATTTTTGGGTGGTTTTTTGAGGTTTTTTTTTTATTTTTGGGCTGCCGGGTGCGCGCACGGCGCCGTGGGCGGGCGGCGCGGGTGCGCGCCCAGGCAGCGCCAGCGATCGCCGAGCGCATCCACCAGCAGCGGGAGGAGGAGGAGGAGGAGGAGGAGGAAGGGGAAGGGTGGTTGGGGGGGTGTTACCCTCACTTCGCATGCCTTTCCCCCCCTTTTCTTCTATTTTACATCCATTTCTCCCTCTCCAACACCCCATTTACACCGGCCCTACACCGAGCCCATGGCCCTGCGTCACCCCCCGTCCCCCAGGGCAACCTACAGCCCGGGCTCGGCCCAAAACAACAGCCACAAAACCCATTTTTGGGTGGTTTTTTGAGTTTTTTTTTTTATTTTTGGGCTGCCGGGTGCGCGCACGGCGCCGTGGGCGGGCGGCGCGGGTGCGCGCCCAGGCAGCGCCAGCGATCGCCGAGCGCATCCACCAGCAGCGGGAGGAGGAGGAGGAGGAGGAGGAAGCCGCCAGCCAAGATGTCCCGGTCCAACCGGCAGAAGGAATACAAATGCGGGGACCTGGTTTTCGCCAAGATGAAGGGTTACCCGCACTGGCCTGCCCGGGTAAGGAGCTGGGTGAGGGGTGGGGGTGCCATGGGACCCCCGCCCCCCGTTTTCCCGGTGCTCCCCGTTGCATAACGCGGTGCCCCGGGATGGGGGAAGGGGCGCGCCGGGGTCAGGCTGCCCCCGCGGGCCGGCGGGGGGTGTGTCCGCTCGGGGGTCGGCCTTCGGTGCCCCCCGCTCCCCTCCGCCGGGGCCGGGGTCCAACTTTGCCGCTGCCTTATGTAAGGCCGGGCCCGGCGCGCTCGGGGGTTACTCGGTACCGGCCTTCGGGGAGGCGCTTTCGGGACGTTCCCTTGGGTTTGGGGTGGATTTTATATATTGGAAACAACGTCCCGGACTCCCCCGGGCCCTTTCTTGCGCTGTTTATTCATTTCTCTCCCTGCGGGGCCGGGTGTGGGGAGGGGGGGTCACGGGTGGGGACCGCGTGGCTTCTGCCACCCCCTTGGGGACCGGCGGCGGAGCACGAGGCCGGGCCAGCCCGGGGTGACCCCTCCTCCCCGGGGGGCCCCCTCCCCGGTACCGGGATGGGGGGGGGTCCCTGTTCCACCTCGAGACCCCCTGGAGGGGCCGGGTCGCCCCCCGGTGATGGTTTGGGGGAGCCCAGGGTGGGTTTCCACCGGCGGGGCCCCCCCCCCCCCGAGCGTGTCCCCCCGGCTCTTGGTGGCCTCGCCACGGGTGCCAGGGAGAGGTGGCAGCGCTGGCCGGGAGTTTGGCTGTGGGAAATCGATGGAATTATTGAGGACTTAGGACGGGGGGGAAGGGGGGCCCAGGCCCCGCCGGTGTCCCCCGGAGGGTCCCGGGTGTCCCTGAGGGGGGTCGTGCCATAAGCCCGGGACCCCTGGGATGAGCCCGGGCCCGTGGGCAGCCCTGGCTGCACAACACGCTGGTTATTTTTAAGCGGTTGATGATGCAGTTTAAAATTTCCTTGGAGTGTTTCCCCCCCCACACACACACACACACCACACGCTCCCCTCACGGCCTTGCCGCGAAGGGCACCGGGGCTGTGCCTGGCACCCCCAAACTGAGCGCCAAAAGGGAGCCATGGGGCGACGGGCTTTAAAGGCCGACCATCCCCCTGTGTCCCCCCTCCTTCCCCTCCCGGATTTGAATAACTTTTGTTTGGTTTGTCGGCTTCTGGCGGGGAGGCCGGGAGGGGGTTGGGAGCCGCTCGGATTATTTGGCAGCGGCCTCCCAACGCGCATTTGAAAGCGGCTTGGCGAGGAGGAGCCCCAGGGATCCCTGCGAGCCCTGCTTCCACCGCCGCCTGCCTTTCCCCGGGGGGCCCGGCCGCCTTCCCCCGGCCCCCGCGGCTCCGGAGCCTCGTGTCGGGCTCGGCTCCCGAATTAACGCCGGCCCCGCTCGGGTTTCGCACCCCACACCATCAGGCCAACACCATCAGGTTTTGGGGTGCTGTGGCAGGCAGGGAATGGGAATTGGGCAGGTTTGATCCGGGGGGGGGTTTGATCCAGCCCTCCCCGCCGTGACTAATCAGGCAGGGCTTGCCCGTGACTAATCAGGTGCTGTGATGAAACGTTACCCGGCCACGCGTGGCGTTTGCTGGGATATTTGTTTCCAGCCAGGTGTGGCTGGAGCTGAGAGATAGGAGAAGAAATGCAGGGGGGAAGGGTTGTTCCCCTGGCCCGTTCCCCAGCACCAGCAGCTCAGTGGAAACCTCCCCCTGAGAGGGGCAGCGTTAAACAGAGGGGAAACTGAGGCACGACAGTGGGGAGATGAGTTGCAGGCAGCTGGAGGATGAGGCTTGCCTCCCTTTTCCTCTCACCCTTTCTCTGCAGGGTCCCTTATGCCAGAGCCTGGTTGTTGGTGCTTCCCTGCCAGATCTGCAGGCCCTGTTTGTACAGAGCCCTGGGACAGCCCGGGAGCACGGCAGGGGATGAGGCAGCATGTCACACAGGATCCTGCACCTCTGACATCCCCCTCCCTGAGCATCTCCTGTTCCCCTGGCTGTGCCTGGGGTCAGGATCCTTCCTGGCACCACTGAAATTCCCCTTTCCTGAGCATCTCCTGTTCTCCTTTCTGTGCCTGGGGTCGGGCTCCTGCCACCATTGAAATTCCCCTTTCCTGAGCATCTCCTGTTCCCCTGGCTGTGCCTGGGGTCGGGCTCCTGCCACCATTGAAATTCCCCTTTCCTGAGCATCTCCTGTTCCCCTGGCTGTGCCTGGGGTCGGGCTCCTGCTGGCCATTCCGGGTAATTTGGTGCCCCTTGCCAGCTTGGTGCTGGGATGGGGCCCAGTGGTGGCCCCAGGGCTGAGGAGACCCCTGGGGGTGGGACTCAGGGGTGCCACAGGACCCCCACCCTGTGCATGTGCCCCTCCCATGTGCTTCACCGACCGTGTGTGACCCACACGAGTTAATTCCATTAATTAATTAATTCCTCTTCCCGACAGCCAAGCCCTCGCTGCCAGCCTTGTCCTGCAGCGGGGAAACTGAGGCAGGGAGGGGGCTGACTCCAGCGCAGGGCAGGCTGCATCCAGCCGTGCTCCGTGGAGCCGTGGCAAAGGTGACGAGCAGAGCTTGGGGGCAGAGTCCAGAGCAGGGGTATGTGCCTGTCCCTCCCCTGCCACGCTCCAGAGCTTCCCCTCCTGGGGGACGTGTCCCAGCCCCTTCTCAGGCCCCCCCAGCCCCTGGGTGCAGCTCCAGGCTGGGACACCAGTGAGTCCAGGCTGGGACACCAGTGAGTCCAGGCTGGGACACCAGTAAGTCCAGGCTGTGACACCAGTGAGTCCAGGCTGGGACACCAGTGCCATTCGCAGGGGCTGGCATGGGGACAGAAATGGGCACCGTGGACTTTACCCTGGCACTGCAGCCCTATCTCCCTGTGCTGCCACTGTCCAGCGAGCGACAGGGACGGACAAACAGACACGGGCCATGACAGTGCCACCCAGCCCTGGGGCGCTGTGGGCAGCCCAGGGTTTTGGGGTGGGTTTGCAGTGTCTGCACTATCGGTGTCCCCAGCGGGGTGTCACCCGTGTCCCCGCACCCCAATCCCCGCCTGGCCGTGCAGATAGAGCCACCACATCCCCTGGGGGTGCAGGAGGGGCTGATAAAGGGCTGGCAGCGAGGGGCTGGGCCGGGAATCCCACTGCCGGGGGTCCCAGCTGTCCCACAGAGCCCCTTGGTTCCTGGGTTGGGGACACGGTGACACAGGGCAGAGCTGCCTGTGCTGCCTTTCCTTGGGGAGGAGATTTGGAAACTTGCTGGGGGATCTCCATCAGGGTCCGGGCACTGCCAGGGGCTGTGGGGTCCCTGCCCAGGCCTGGGTTCCATGTCCTTGCCTGGGGGGCCCTGGGGCTGATGGCACATAGTGCCAGGAGTGACCTGCAGGAAGGTGGCCTGGGGGAAGTGCCATCCCCGGGCTGGGCTGGGCTGGGCTGGTGGCCGCCCCTCTGAGTCACATCATCCCCTCCTCCACCTTCGGTGCCACGCAGGGATGGAGCTGCTGCTCCCAGCTGCCACCATGGGCCAGGGTCCTGCTGGGGACTGTCCCTGCTCCTGGAATGTCCCCTGGTGGCATTGGGGCATGGCAGTGCCAGGAGCCCCAAGGCTCTGGGTGGGTGGGAGCACTTCAGTCCTGAAACATCCCCTGGTGCAGGGCCTGGATGCCCCAAACCACATTTGGGCAGTGGGGATGGCACAAAGGCACGTCCCACCCAGGAGTGGGACATCCCACCAAGCCTCCAGCGCATCCTGGTGCCCGTCCCAGTGCCCCATCCCCTCCATCTGCCCCGGGGCTGTGCCAGCATTGCCCCTCAGCACAGGGACCAGTGTTGGCCCCATCCCCAGCTCTGCGAAGGAAACCAGGAGGAACTCTTGGCCAGATCCACCCTGTCACGGCACCCCGTCCCTGCTGGCTGGGGAAACTGAGGCTGGGCGAGCTGTGGGGGTCATGGTGACTTAGGGAAGGTTGTGCCATGAGTCAGCAGAGGGCTGGGAGCGGGACCTGGCATCCCGGCCGTCCCTGCTGGCACTTCCAGCCCGGTGACGTGCTGGCGCCTGCCCCGAGACCCCCACCCGCATCCTCCTTCGGCTCCTTCCACCTCCCTTGGAGGTTTTCTCGGGGAATTTATGGCTGCTGGCTGCAGGGGGGGTTATTTTTAGCTGCTATAAAAAGCAGCCGGAGTTGCTTTCGCTCCCTTCCCGCTTGGCGCCTCGGGATTATTCACGCTCGGTGGAGCAGCACCTGCCTGTGGGCTTGGCACCGGCTGCTGCGTGACCCCAGAGCCCTCGCCAGGCTGTCCCCTTGTCTGGTGACCCCGTTTTGGCCAGGGTGTCCCCCCCAGGCACCCCAATCCCATTGCTGGCCCCGGCTGGGGGCGATGCCTGTGGCACTGCTGGCAGCGCCTGAATGTGCTGAGTGTGACTGAGCTGGTCTAGACTGGAGCTAAAGGGAGAGGGGGTGGGAGAAGGGGAGCCCTGCTGGCCCCCACACCTGGGGGCACCTTGGGGGCACAGCCTCTTGTTCTGCTGAGCACTTCTTGCCAGCGCTGTCTCCAGAAATAGCCTGGGGGTGCAGGAGGGGCTGAGAAAGGGCAGGAGGAAGGCTGGCAGGAGTGGGCTGTGCAGGGAATCCCACTGCCAGGGGGTCCCAGCTGGGGGGATTCCCAAGGAATTCTCCTTTCCTGAGCTGTGCCCATGGATAGGACACTGGAGGGGGTGGGTGGGGGGATATCCTGGGGTCTGAGGAGCTGTGGCACTGCTGGCAGTGCCTGAATTTGCTGAGTGTGACTGAGCTGGTCTAGACTGGAGCTTAAGGCAGAGGGGGTGGGAGAAGGGGAGCCCTGCTGGCCCCCACACCTGGGGGCACCTTGGGGGCACAGCCTCTTGTTCTGCTGAGCACTTCTTGCCAGCGCTGTCTCCAGAAATAGCCTGGGGGTGCAGGAGGGGCTGAGAAAGATCTGGGGCTGGCAGGAGTGGGCTGTGCAGGGAATCCCACTGCTAGGGGGTCCCAGCTGGGGGGATTCCCAAGGAATTCTCCTTTCCTGAGCTGTGCCCATCACAGGACACTGGAGGGGTGGGGGGATGTCCTGGGGTCTGAGGAGCTGTGGCACTGCTGGCAGTGCCTGAATTTGCTGAGTGTGACTGAGCTGGTCTAGACTGGAGCTTAAGGCAGAGGGGGTGGGAGAAGGGCAGCCCAGTGGGTACTCACTTGTTCTGCTGAGCATTTCTTGCCAGCACTGTCTCCAGACAGTCGGGGAATTCCCCAGGAATTCTCCTTTCCTGAGCTGTGCCGATGGATGGGACACTGGAGGGGGGGGGTGGGGGGATATCCTGGGGTCTGAGGAGCTGTGGCACTGCTGGCAGTGCCTGAATTTGCTGAGTGTGACTGAGCTGGTCTAGACTGGAGCTTAAGGGGGTGAAGGGGTGGGAGAAGGGCAGCCCAGTGGGTACTCACTTGTTCTGCTGAGCATTTCTTGCCAGCACTGTCTCCAGACAGTGGGGGAATTCCCCAGGAATTCTCCTTTCCTGAGCTGTGCCCATCACAGGACACTGGAGGGGTGGGGGGATGTCCTGGGGTCTGAGGAGCCGCAGGGGTCTCTGCCCTCTCCTCTCACCCTGTCCTTTGTGTCACACAGATTGATGAGATGCCAGAAGCTGCAGTCAAATCCTCCTCCAATAAGTACCAAGTCTTCTTCTTCGGGACCCACGAAACGTGAGTGGGAGCTGGGGCTCACGGTGAGTTTGGGAGAGGTGAGACCCCCCCCTGCTCCCACCCCTCACCGTTTTCCCCTGGCACAGGGCATTCCTGGGGCCCAAAGACCTCTTCCCCTACGAGGAGTGCAAGGAGAAGTTCGGGAAACCCAACAAGCGGAAAGGGTTCAGCGAAGGCCTGTGGGAGATCGAGAACAACCCCACGGTCAAAGCCTCCGGCTACCAGGTGGGTGACGAGCTGGGGGGGCTCCATCCCACCTCCCCCCGCCATTCCTCCTCCCTGGGGGCCCCCTGTGACCCCCCGTGCCCACAGCCCACCCAGAAGAAGAGCTGCCCCGAGGCGGCCGAGCGGGAGCCGGAGGGGGACGGGGAGAAGAAGGGCAACGCCGAGGGCAGCAGCGACGAGGAGGGGAAGCTGGTGATCGACGAGCAGTCCAAGGAGAAGAACGAGAAGGGAGGGATCAAGAGGAAAGCTGAGGATGCTTTGGAGGTACTGGGTGGGCTGGGCAGGGCTGCGGGTGCTGGGGGCTGGAGGTGGGGATGTTGGGGACAGGGATGTTTGGGACAGGAGATGGGGATGTTTGGGACAGGGATGTTTGGGACAGGGAATGTTTGGGACAGGGGACAGGGATGTTTGGGACAGGGATGTTTGGGACAGGGGATGTTTGGGACAGGGGATGGGGATGTTTGGGACAGGGGATGTTTGGGACAGGGGCTAGGGATATTTGTTTTGAGACAGGGTTTGTGGATGTTTGGTACAGGGTATGGGGATGTTGGGGACGGAATGGACATGCTTGGGTCAGGGGATGTTTGAGATAGGGGATGGAGATTTTTGGGTCAGGGGATGTTTGGGACAGGGATAGGGATGTTGGGGACGGGATTTTTGGGACAGGGGCTGGGGATGTTTGTTTGGGACAGGATTTGGGGATGTTTGGGACAGGGACGGGGATGTTGGGGACAGGGGATGGAGATTTTTGGGTCAGGGGATGTTTGGGACAAGGAGTGGAGATGTTGGGGACAGGGGATGGAGATGCTGGGGACAGGGGATGTTTGGAACAGGGGCTGTTTGGAATGGGGATGTTGGGGACAGGGAATGGGGATGGTGGGGACAGGGGATGTTTGGGACAGGGCATGTTGGGGAAAAGGGATGTCGGGGACTGGGATAAGGATGTTGGGGACAGGGAATGGAGATTTTTGGGACAGGGGATGTTTGGGACAGGGATATTTGTTTTGAGACAGGGTTTGGGGATGTTTGGGACAGGGGATGTTTGGGACAAGGAGTGGAGATGTTGGGGACAGGGGATGGAGATGCTGGGGACAGGGGATGTTTGGAACAGGGGCTGTTTGGAATGGGGATGTTGGGAACAGGGGCTGGGGATGTTTGGGACAGGGAATCTTTGGAATGGGGATGTTGGGGACAGGGAATGGAGATTTTTGGGTCAGGGGATGTTTGGGATAGGGGATGGAGATTTTTGGGTCAGGGGATGTTGGGGATAGGGGATGGAGATTTTTGGGTCAGGGGATGTTGGGGACAGAGGACAGGGAGTGGGAATGTTCGGGACTGGGGCTGGAGGTGCTGAGGATGTTTGGGACAGGGATAGGGATGTTAGGGATGGGATTTTTGGGACAGGGGATATTTGTTTGGGAGAGGATTTGGGATGTTGGGGACAGGGACAGGGGATGTTGGGGACAGGGGATGGAGATTTTTGGGTCAGGGGATGTTGGGGACAGGGGATGGAGTTTTTGTGTTGGGATGTTGGGGACAGGGAATGGAGATGTTGCTTTCAGGGGATGTTTGGGATAGGGGGTGGAGATTTTTGGGTCAGGAGATGTTTGGGAGAGGGCTTGGGGATATTGTTTGGGACAGGGCTTGGGGATGTTTGGGACAGGGGATGTTTGGAACAGGGGCTGTTTGGAATGGGGATGTTGGGGACAGGGAAGGGGATGTTTGGGGTTGTTTGGGACAAGGCCTGGGCTGACCTGAGCTTCCCCCCCTGCCCCCAGCAGGACTCCCCCAAACGCCCCAAGGACGCAGAGGGGCAGGAAGGGGACAAGAAGGTGGCCAACGAAGAGACCCCCAAGGAGGAGCCCAAAGCCAACCCAGGAGAGGGGGACAAGAACAGCGACGCCGCCGACACACCGGCCACCAACGAGGCCAAGCAGGAGGGCAAGGAGGAGGTCAGAGACCACAAGGAGAGGTGAGGCTGCTGCTGTGAGCCCTGTCCCCACAGCCTCCAGGTGTTGGGGGCGGCTCTGACAAGAGCCTGGCTCTCTTCTTGGCCCCTCACAGCCTGTAGTGGCTTCCCTGGCGAGCTGATCCTCCCCTGCTGGCTCCTGGGTGCTGCCCCACGCCGGCGCGTCGCGTCCGCAGCTCCGGACGAGAGAAACCACCCCAACAAGGAAATTTCCAAAAGAGAGAAAAAGCTACAAAAAAATTAAAAAGAAAAAAAAAAGAGGAATGCAGAGCAGCCCGGTACTGCCCCCAGCGCTGCGTGCCTGCCCTGCCGTGGGCACACCACGCTTTGTGTTAGAGATTCCTGGGGGCTCAGCTGGTGATTTGAAATAAAAGCGAATCTTGCCTTTTTAAAAAGTGCTTGTGGGACCTGGCTTAGCCCCTGGACCCTCCTGCGTGGGGGGTTTTGGGACCTTTTGGGCTGTCAGAGCCCCTCTGGGGTGGGGGGAGTGAGCACATCGGGGAGGGGAGCTAAAATAGGAGCTGCAGAACCACAGAACGGGACACAGAATGATCAAATCTTACTGCTGGCCCTGCACACAGCACCTCAAAATGCCAGCATTGTCTAAATCTTAAAGATTATGGAATATCCTGAGCTGGGAGGGACCTACAGGGCTCATTAAGCTCTGGGTCCTGCACAGGACACCCCAAAATGCTCCCAATGCCGACCTCCTAGAACATTGTCCAAGCATGCAGTTTTTATGCTGGAATAGTGGAATACCCTGAGCAGGAGGGACCCACCAGGATAATCAAGTTTTGCTCTGGATCCTGCACAGGACACCCCAAAATGCTCCCAGTCCCAACCTCCTAGAACACTGCCCAAGCACTCAGTTTTTATGCTGGAATAGTGGAATACCCTGAGCAGGAATAATCAGGATAATCGAGTCCTGCTCTGGACACTCTAAAATCCCCTCCTGTGCCCGAGGGCCGTGTCCAAACTCCCCTTGAGCTGTGCCAGCCTCAGGCCGTGCCCGCTCTTGGCCGCTCTGTCCCACACACAGCCCGGCCAGGACAGGCCAAACCAGGCCGGCTCCCGCAGAGGGGACAGCACAGACCGTCCCTTGTCCCTGAGCCGGCCGCGGGGGCACGAAGGGCAGCGGCAGAAGATGGAGCCGTGGCCGGACTACAGCTCCCGGCAGCCGCTCACCGCGGGCCGGGGCTGCGGCCTGGCTGTGGGGCCGGAGGGGCCGCGGGACTACAGCTCCCGGCGTGCCCCGCGGCAGGACTACCGCTCCCGGCATGCTTCGCGCTAGGACTACAACTCCCGGCGTGCCCCGCGCGACCTCCACAGCGGCGGGAGCGGCGCGGGTGAGGGGGCCGGGGCCGGGACCCCCGTGAGGGCTCCGCGGGGCTTTCCGGGGAACGGGGGGGCTTGCCGGGGCTTGGGGGACTTGGGGGGCGGCCGGGGCTCTGCGGGATCCCTGGGTGTCGTTCCTGGTGGGGTCGAGGGGGTGTGTGAGCTGCGGGGTCCATTTGGGAGCAGGGGGGTCTTTGGGAGTCAGGGGATGTTTGGAATCAGGGGGTCTTTGGGAGTTAGGGGGATGTTTGGGGGTCAGGGAGTCTTTGGGAGTAATGGGGTCTTTGGGAGTCAGGGGGTCTTTGGGGTATCCATGGGCCCCTCGGGGGTGGGGGGGCCCTGCCCGTGTCCCTGTGCCCTGTGGGGGATTGAGCTCTGTGGGACCCCCGGGTGCTCTTGGGGGGGTGTTCCCCCCGGGAAAGGGGAAGGTGTCGGTGTGTCTCTGCGGGGAGTGGGGGGCTCTGCGGCCCCCGAGTGGAAGGGGCTTTGCAGGACACCGGGGTCCCCTTTGTGTGGGGAGTGACAATCTGTGGGACCCCTTTCGTGGGGGGCTGCTCTGCCAGACGCTCCCATCCCCGTCAGAGGTGGCTGTGGGTGGGTGGGCTCTGCCGGACCCCCGGGGGTAGGGGAGGCTGAGGGGCGTCCACAGAGCCCTCCCTGCCCGCAGCAGCATGCGGCTCTCGGTCCTGCTGAGCGCGGCACGGCCGCGGCTGCCCCGGGGCTACCGGCACGGCACGTGGCCCCCCGACTCCACGGCCGCCCGGCTCCGCAACCCGCCGGGCCAGCGCCGCCGCAAGGTCTTCGTGGAGCCCGTGGCCAAGGACGACTGGAAGGTGTTCAAGGGTGACACGGTGAGGCTCGCCCTCCCCGGGGTGCCCCCGCTGGCTGGCAGCCGGGCTGGGGGTCCCAGCTGCGCCCCTCTCTCCTCCGCAGGTGCAGCTGCTGGCCGGGAAGGACGCGGGCAGGCAGGGCATGGTCACGCAGGTGGTGCGAGAGCGCAACTGGGTGGTGGTGGAAGGGCTGAACACGGTGAGGCCGCTGCGGGGGGCTCTGTGGGGGGAGGCTGGGGGGCCCACGGGCCGTGTGTGACCCCCGTGGTGCCCTCGCAGCACTTTCGCTACGTCAACCGCACGGCCAAGTACTCGGGCTCCTACATCGCCAGCGAGGCGCCGCTGCTGCTCAGCCAGATCTGCCTGGTGGACCCCGAGGACCGGTAAAGCCTGGTGGGGGGTGCTGGGGGGACCCCCCAGCCTCAGCCCTGCCCCTCGCCAACGCCCCGTGCCCGCAGGAAGCCGACGGAGGTGGAGTGGAGGTACACGGAGCAGGGCGAGCGCGTGCGCGTGTCGCTGCGCAGCGGCCGCATCCTGCCCGTGCCCCCGCAGCCACGCCGGGACGGCGTCGTCCCCGAGCAGTGGATCGGTGAGAGGGGTGCCACGGGGGGCTGGGGGCACGCGGCGGGGGACACGGAGGGGCTCAGCGCTGTCCCCTTGCCCCCGCAGATGGCCCCAAGGACACGTCGGAGGAGGACGCGCTGGCCAAGACGTACCGGCCGTCGCTGAAGACCTTCGAGGAGGAGATCATGGATGCCATGGGCATCGTGGAGACACGGCGGGCCAAGAAATCCTACTGGTATTGACTGGGAGAGCTGGGAACCCCCCCAGCCAGCCCAGGAAATCCTACTGGTGTTAACTGGGAGCCCCCCCAGCCAGCCCAGGAAATCCTACTGGTGTTAACTGGGAGAACTGGGAGCCCCCCAAGCCAGGCCAGGAAATGCTACTGGTATTGACTGGCGGAGCTCAGAGCCCCCCAAGCCAGCCCAGGAAATCCTACTGGTATTAACTGGGAGAGCTGGGAGCCCCCCAAGCCAGGCTAAGAAATCCTACTGGTATTAAGTGGGAGAACTGGGAGCCCACCCAGCCAGCCCAGGAAATCCTACTGGTATTAACTGGGAGAGCTCAGAGCCCCCCAAGCCAGGCCAGGAAATCCTACTGGTATTGACTGGGAGAGCTGGGAACCCCCCAAGCCAGGCTAAGAAATCCTACTGGTATTAAGTGGGAGAACTGGGAGCCCACCCAGCCAGGCTAGGAAATCCTACTGGTGTTAACTGGGAGCCCCCCCAGCCAGGCCAGGAAATCCTACTGGTATTAACTGGGAGAGCTGGGAGCACCCCGAGCCAGGCTAGGAGATGCTACTGGTGTTAACTGGGGGAGCTGGGAGCCCCCTGAGCTGGGCTCTGCAATAAACACCCCCTGGATTTGCTGTTTGTAGTGCGCAGTGCTTTTGGTGTGGCACAGACTCACACCCAGCCCTGGAGTGTAAAAATGCTGGGTTTATTGTGGGTTCTGCCCCTCCCTGGGGGACTCTGCTTCCTCCAGCTCCTCATCCTCGCTGCTGTGCCCATCCTCAGTGTCCTTGGCCAGCGCTGTGTCCAGCGGGGTGCGTGCGGCCACCAGCACCAGGTTCCGTGGGGAGAACCGGGGGTTGAAGAGGGGCACCAGGGCACAGTGGAAACCTGGGAAAAAGGAGAGCTGGGAGAATGCACAGAGGGGTCCAGGGAGAGAGGAAGCACAAAGGGGAGGAGGGCCCTGGCAGCTGTGCCCATGCCCACCTTGCTCCCGCAGGTAGAGCAGGCGGTCCAGCAGGATGAGGGTCTCCACGGCAGGTGCCAGCAGCTGCCCCAGGGTGCAGAATGCCACCACCTTGTGCTGCTGCTCCAGCATGGCCCCCACAGCCCCCGAGTCCAGCGGGACCCCCGCTGGGTCCAGTCCCGCCAGGGACAGCCCCAGCTGGGCGTATCTGTCATAAAACAGGGGCAGGGGGTCTCAGGCAGGACTCCCCCAACCCCACACTCATGAGGAGGGTCCCAAAAGGGGGTTTCCCCTCCCCAAACTCACTGTGGGGCCAGGAGGGGCACAGGAGGTTGGCCCCACTCCCCAAACTCACAAGGAGAGTTCCAGAAGAGTCCTCCCTTCCCAAACTCATGAGGAGGGTCCCAGAAGGGAGTTCTCCCTCCCCAAACTCTGCAGGGCCAGGAAAGGACACAGGAGGTTGACCCCACTCATGAAGAGGGTCCCAAAAGGGGGTTCTCCCTCCCCAAACTCACTGTGGGGCCAGGAAGGGACACAGGAGGTTGACCCCACTCCCCAAACTCACAGGGAGAGTTCCAGAAAAGGATCCTCCCTCCCCAAACTCATAAGAAGGGTCCCAGAAAGGAGTCCCCCCCGTCCCCAAACTCACAGTGGGGTCAGGAGGGGACACAGGAGGTTGACCCAACTCCCCACTCATGACAAGGGTCCCAAAAGGGGCTTCCCTGTCCCCAAACTCACTGTGGGGCCAGGAGGGGACACAGGAGGTTGACCCAACTCCCCACTCATGACAAGGGTCCCAAAAGGGGGTTTCCCCTCCCCAAACTCACTGTGGGGCCAGGAGGGGCACAGGAGGTTGGCCCCACTCACCAAACTCACCGGGAGAGTTCCAGAAAAGAGTCCTCCCTTCCCAAACTCATGAGGAGGGTCCCAGAAGGGAGTTCTCCCTCCCCAAACTCTGCAGGGCCAGGAAAGGACACAGGAGGTTGACCCCACTCATGAAGAGGGTCCCAAAAGGGGGTTCTCCCTCCCCAAACTCACTGTGGGGCCAGGAAGGGACACAGGAGGTTGACCCCACTCATGAAGAGGGTCCCAAAAGGGGGTTCTCCCTCCCCAAACTCACTGTGGGGCCAGGAAGGGACACAGGAGGTTGACCCCACTCATGAAGAGGGTCCCAAAAGGGGGTTCTCCCTCCCCAAACTCACTGTGGGGCCAGGAAGGGACACAGGAGGTTGACCCCACTCATGAAGAGGGTCCCAAAAGGGGGTTCTCCCTCCCCAAACTCACTGTGGGGCCAGGAGGGGATACAGAAGGATGTCCCCACTCTCCAGACTCACAAAGAGAGTTCCAGAAAAAGGATCCTCCCTCCCAGACTCATAAGGAGGGTCCCAGAAGGGAGTCCCCCCCTCCCCAAACTCACTGCAGGGCCAGGAGGGGCACAGGAGGTTGGCCCCACTCCCACACTAATGTAGAGGGTCCCAAAAGGGGGTTCCCTGTCCCCAAACTCTCTGCAGGGCTAGGAGGGGCACAGGAGGTTGGCCCCACTCATGAAGAGGGTCCCAAAAAGGAGTTCTCCCTCCCCAGTCTCACTGTGGGGCCAGGAGGGGACAGAGGAGGTTGACCCAACTCCCCACTCATGAAGAAGGTCCCAAAAGGGGGTTCCCCCTCCCCAAACTCTCTGCAGGGCCAGGAGGGACACAGGAGGTTGACCCCACTCCCCAAACTCACAAGGAGAGTTCCAGAAAAGGATCCTCCCTCCCCAAACTCATGAGGAGGGTCCCAAAAGGGGGTTCCCCCTCCCCAAATTCATTGTGGGGCCAGGAGGGGACACAGGAGGTTGACCCCACTCCCACACTCAGGAAGAGGGTCCCAAAAGGGGGTTCCCCCTCCCCAAACTCACAAGGAGAGTTCCAGAAAAGGATCCTCCCTCCCCAAAGTCACGGGGGGCTAGAAAAGGATCCTCCCTCCCCAAGCTCAGGCAGGGAGCAGAAAGGGCTCACTGGGGCCCACCAGGGGACACAGAAGGGGGTCCCCACGGCCACACTCACTGGGGGAAGCTGAGGGTGTGTGCCCTCCTGCCCGGCTGCAGGCCCAGGTGCCTCTTGGCGGGCTCGGCGGCGCGGATCAGGCTCTCCAGCACGGCGCGGTAGCAGTGGGCACGCAGCTGGGCGCTGCCCCCGCGCAGCCGCCCCTGGTACTCCTCCAGGGCGTGGCACGCCACCTCCCGTGCCCGGTAGGACAGCTGGTGGCCCGGCAGTGCCGCCACCGAGGCGCTCAGCGGGTAGCCAGGGGGCTGCTGCGGGGCTGTTGACAGCTTCATGTAGCAGCAGCCCACCAGGGCCACGGCAGCCACGGCGGGGCTGCGGGCGAAGTGGCACAGCAGGGCAGGGCTGAGGTCCCCGCAGGCGTGCAGCCCCGTCACCAACACCCTCTCCCCGTCCTCAGAGCCCCCCGGGCCCCCCAGCGGGTTCCGCGCGGCTGGGCCGGCTCCTGGGGGGTCGGGGGGCAGCAGGAACTCCCCCCAGGGAGCTGCGGGGTCCAGGCGGCCGGCGACGTGCTGGGGGGCACGGGGGGTGAGGGGGCGAGCGCGGGCCTTGCCCAGCTCCCGCAGCAGCTCACGGTCGAAGCGCTCGGCCAGCCCCACCAGGCGCCCGTCGCTCTCCACCGCAGTGACCCCCAGCCCCAGGCCGAAGGCCAGCAGCCGGGACAGGTGGCCCTGGGGGGGGACACGAGCTCAGCAGGGCTGGGGGATCCCCTGGGACCCCCCCTCAGTGTCCCCCCTCTCTTACCTGCCCCGCTCCGACGTCCACCACGCGCTGGCAGCCGGTGGCGCGGCTCAGCCGCCGCAGCAGCTGGGGGGAAAGGGGGGCTCTTAGGGGGCTGGGGGCAGCTGGGGGGGCTCGGGGCACAGCCGGGGGCACCCACCTTGCCCAGGCGCTGGATCTCGTGCTGCTTCTTGGGCTTGACGTGGCGGCGCAGCAGCGGGTGCAGCCCGGAGCTCTGGCACGGCGGGCACGGCGGGCACGGCGGGCACGGGCAGCCCCGGGGGAAGGCCAGGGCGCGGGCAGCGGCGGCAAAGGCCAGCAGGGACAGCGGCCAGGCAGCCCCCGGGCCCCCGGAGCCCCCCAGGAGCCCGGCCAGCTGCACGGGGGTGGCACTGGCCAGGGCGGGCTGCCAGGCTGCAGGCAGCTGTGCCCACAGGTCCTCGGTGAAGAAATCCTGAGGGGAGCGGGGTCAGGGAAAACAGCCTGGGGGCACAGCCTGGGGAGGGCACAGCTCTGGGGTGGCACAGCCCAAGGGACATAGCCTGGGGCTGGCACAGCCCAAGGGGACACAGCCCAAGGGACACAGCCTGGGGGTGGCACAGCCCAAGGGGACACAGCCCAAGGGACACAGCCTGGGGGTGGCACAGCCCAAGGGGACACAGGCCTGGGGGACAGCTTGGTGGGCACAGCTGAGGGGTCACATCTCAGGGAGCACAGCCGGGGGGCACAGCCCAGGGGGACACAGTCCAGAGGGCACAGCCTGGGGGTGGCACAGCCCTGGGGGACACAGCCTGGGGGTGCAGGTTGGGGGACACAGCCCTGGGGGCACAGCCCAAGGGGACACAGGCCTGGGGGACAGCTTGGTGGGCACAGCCCGGGGGGCACAGCTCGGGGGTCATATCTCAGGGGGGTCACAGCCCGGGGACAGCTCGGGGTCACTCACAATGACGAAGGCGTCGAGCAGGGGCCGGTACAGCGTCAGCAGGCGGATGATGTCGGCGGCTCGCCGCTGCTCCGGGCCCTGCGGGGGGCCAGGGGCGGCCATGGCGGCTCCTGGGGGGCACGGCGGCGTCACCGCGGCACTGTGAGCTCACCCCGGCACTGCCACCCCTCCCCGGCTCTGCCCGTGCCGGTCAGCGCCCGCGTGACGTCATCACCATCCCGCCGTGACGTCACGCGGCTGTGGCGCCACTCCCCCCCCAACCCCACCGAGGCGCCCCCCGGAGCCGTGACGTCACTCACGCCCGGGCACCCGTGACGTCACCGGGCCGGCCGGGACACCGGGCATGTCGTCGCCGGTGCTGCCTGACGTCGGTCTGACGTCATCGCACGCGTCACGCGGACGCCGCGCGCCCCTCAGCGCCCGGCGCCGCCGAGTTCCCGCCGCGGCGCGCGCGCTTACGGCGTCACTGCCGGTACCGGGCCGGCCGCGTGTTTCCCGGGAACTTCCGGTTCCGGGACGCGGAGGTGAGGGGGGTTTGCGGGTGAGACCGGGGGTCTCCGGTACCGGGAGTGCCGGGGGTCCCGGGGGTCGGGGGTTCCCGCTGCCGGCAGTCGCGGGGGTCAGGCATTGTCGGTACCGGGGGTCGGGGGTTCCCGGTACCGGGTGTCCCGGTGGTGGGGTACTGCTGGTACCGGGAGTCAGGGGTTCCCGGTCCCGGGGGTCGGGCATTGCCGGTACCGGGGTCCCGGGGGTCGGGGGTTCCCAGTGCTGGGAGTCCCAGGGGTCAGGCATTGCCGGTGCCGGGAGTCGGGGTTGCCGGTACCGGGTGTCCCGGGGATCAGGGGTTCCCGGTACCGAGATCCCCACCGCCCAGCCCCTCTCCGCCCGCAGCAGCCCCGCCATGGACGATCTCATCCTCAACCTGGACTTCGCCGCGCCCGAGCGCCGCCAGAAGAAGGAGCCGGGCAGCCAAAAGCACCGGAGCTTCGTGCGGCGCCGCCGGGAGCTGGAGCGCCGCGGCGTGCTGCGCCACAAGCAGCTCCCGCCGGCGGCACCGGGCCGGCCCCGCCGCGCCCGGCCACGGCGCTCGGGGGCCAAACCCCCTAAGGAGAACGGCACCGCCGGGCCGGTACCCCAGAGCCAGACGGGGAGTGTGGGGAAGGCTCGGGGCGCGGCTGGCAGTGCCCCCCTGGTACCCCAGAACCCCGCCAGGAGCAAGGAGAAGGCTCAGGGGGCGGCTGGCAGTGCCCCCCTGGTACCCCAGAACGGCTCTACCGGCCCCGGTGCCCCCGCTCAGAGCAAGGGGAAGGCTCAGGGGGCGGCTGGCAGTGCCCCCCTGGTACCCCAGAACCCCGCTCAGAGCAAGAGGAAGGCTCAGGGCACGGCTGGCAGTGCCCCCCCGGCGCCCCACAAGCTGGTGGCCATGGACTGCGAGATGGTGGGCACGGGCCCCGGCGGGCGCTGCAGCGCGCTGGCCCGCTGCAGCGTGGTCAGCTACGAGGGGGACGTGCTGTACGACCGCTTCGTGCGGCCCGAGGAGCCCGTGGTGGACTACCGCACCCGCTGGAGCGGCGTGCGCCCGCGGCACATGGCCACCGCCGCGCCCTTCCGCGCCGCCCGGCAGCAGGTCGGGCACCGGGACGGGCACGGGCACGGGGATGGGATGGGGTGGGGAAGGGGAAGGGATGGGGATGGGATGGGGATGGGGATGGGATGGGGAAGGGGATGAGGATGGAGACAGGGACAGGGATGGGGATGGGGATGGGATGGGGATGGGGGGTGGTGAGCACACACGGGGGGCTGCAGCTGTGGGGAACGCAGGGCTGGGCTCTGGGGACGCCGGGGTGTGGGGGGCTGAGCCCTGCAGGGTAGCGGGGGACAATTCCTGTGCCCCAGAGGGGAGGGGGGACAATTTCTGTGCTCCTGGGACAATTCCTGTGCCCCACAGGGGAGGGGGGACCATCCCTGTGTCCCACAGGGCAGCGGGGACAATGCTTGTGCTCCTGGGACAGTCCCTGTTCTCCTGGGACAATTCCTGTGCAATCCCACAGGGCAGGTGGGGACAATGCCTCTGTCCCCCAGGACACAGCGGGACAATCTCTGTGGCTCCCACAGAGCAGTGTGGGGACAGTCCCTGTGCCCCTGGGACAATGCCTGTGCCCCCCAGAGCAGGGGGGACAATCCCTGAATCCCTGTGCCCCACAGGGGAGGGGGGACAATTCCTGTGCCCCTGGGACAATCCCCTGTGCCCCAGAGGGGAGGGGGGACAATTTCTCTGTCCAATGGGATGGAGGGGACAATGTCTGTGCTCCTGGGACAATCCCTGTGCCCCTGGGACAATCCCACAGGGCAGGGGGGGACAATGCCTGTGGGGCAAAGGGATTGTCCCTGGGGCCCAGAGATTGTTGCCCCCTGTCCTGTGGGGCACAGGGATTGTCCCCAGTTGCCCTGGGGGGGGTCAGGGATTGTCCCTGGAGCACAGGGATTGTCCCCACACTGCCCTGTGGGGCACAGGGATTGTCCCCACCTGTCCTGTGGGGCACAGAGATTGTCCCCAATTGCCCTGGGGGGGTCAGGGATTGTCCCCACACTGCCCTGTGGGGCACAGGGATTGTCCCCACACCCAGTCACCCCCACAGCTCTGCCCCACGGGGCTGCCCCCATTCCTGGGGGGGGGCAGAATCTTCCCCCGGAGCAGGGGTGGCACTGCCAGGGGTCTCACCCCCTGCTCTCCTGCAGGTCCTGAAGATCCTGGCTGGGAAGGTGGTGGTGGGCCACGCCATCCACAACGACTTCAAGGCCCTGCACTACTGCCACCCCAAAGCCCTGACCAGGGACACGTCGCAGATCCCGCTGCTGAACCGCAGGGCTGGCTTCCCCGAGAACGTGGCCATCTCCCTGAAGCGCCTCACCAAGGCCCTGCTGAACCAGGACATCCAGGTACCCCGGGGCTGGGGAGCCCCTGCACCCCGCCAGGGACACCCTGGGGAGGGAATGGGGGAGGTCTGAGGCTGCCAGTCCTGGAGCAAGGCAGCCCCGTGCCTCAGTTTCCCTTCCCTGGGAGGGGGGAACCCTCAGCTCAGCTCCTACAGCCTCAGGAGTTGTTTTTGTTTTGGTTTTTGTTTTTTTTTTTCTCTTTATACACACCCCACAGTGTTGCCTGCACCTCCCCAATTTTCTCTCTATCCCCAAATTTCCCTATATTCCCCTAAGCTCTCTGCATCCCTCCAGAGCTTCCTGTACCCCAAATTTGCCTGCAGCCCCCTGGAGCTGCCCACGTGCCCTGACCCACCCCAAATCATGCAGCTCAACCCCTGCAGCCTTTTTTTTGTTTTGTATTTTTTTCCTGCTCTTTTTCCTTTATGCACACCCCACTGTGTTGCCTGCATCTCCCCAATTTTCTCCTAAATCTGCCTGTACTCCCCTAAGCTCCCTGCATCCCCCAGAGCTTCCTGTACCCCCAAATCTGCCTGCACCCCCAAATCTGCCTGCACCCCCTCATCTTCCTGCATCTGCCTGCCCCCCCAGAGCTGCTGGCATCCCCCCAATCTTCCTGCATCCCCCCGGGGCTGCCCACATGCCCTGAGCCACCCCAAATCCTGCACCCCAAATCCCCCTGCACGCCCTCAGCTCCCTGCAGCCCCCCACCCTTGCTGTGTGCATTGCCCCACAGCTGCCTGCACTGCCTGATCTCTGTACACCCCCCCTCCCAGTTCTGGCTGCCCCCCCAAACTGGGAGCTGAGCTAACCCGTGTCTGTGCCCACAGGTGGGGAAGGGGGGCCACTCCTCGGTGGAGGACGCCCGAGCCACCATGGAGCTCTACAAGGTGGTGGAGGAGGAGTGGGAGCAGCACCTGCAGCAGAACCCGGAGCAGAAGTGACACCCTGGGGGGCTCAGAGTGACACCCCGCCTGGTTCTGCCTCTGGGGGGGCACACAGTGACACCCCCAGAGTGACACCAGAGTGACAGGCCCAGTCCTGCCCCTGGGAGGGGGGCTCAGAGTGACACCCCCAGCCCGGTCCTGCTTCTGGGGAGTCCCACAGTGACACCCCCAGAGTGACACCAGAGTGACAGGCCCGGTCCTGCCTCTGGGGGGGTCCCACAGTGACACCCCCAGCTCGGTGCTGCCTCTGGAGGGGCTTAGAGTGACACCCCCAGCCTGGTCCTGCCTCTTGGGGGGTCCCACAGTGACGCCCCCAGCCCGGTCCTGCCCCTCGAGGGTCCCACAGTGACACCCCTAGAGTGACAGGCCTGGTCCTGCCTCTGGTGGGGGGCTCTAGAGTGACACCCCCAGCCTGGTCCTGCCTCTTGGGGGGTCCCACAGTGACGCCCCCAGCCCGGTCCTGCCCCTGGGGGGTCCCACAGTGACACCCCTAGAGTGACGGGCCTGGTCCTGCCTCTGGTGGGGGGCTCAGAGTGACACCCCCAGCCCTGTCCTGTCTTTGGAGGGGCTCAGAGTGACACCCGGTCCTGTCCTGCTTCTGGGGAGTCCCACAGTGACACCCTCAGAGTGACACCAGAGTGACAGGTCTGGTCCTGCCTTTGGTGGGGGGGCTCAGAGTGACACCCCCAGCCCTGTCCTGTCTTTGGAGGGGCTCAGAGTGACACCCCTAGCCTGGTCCTGCTTCTGGGGGGTCCCACAGTGACACCCTCAGAGTGACACCAGAGTGACAGGTCTGGTCCTGCCTTTGGTGGGGGGGCTCAGAGTGACACCCCCAGCCCGGTCCTGCCCCTGGGGGGTCCCACAGTGACACCCTCAGAGTGACACCAGAGTGACAGGTCTGGTCCTGCCTTTGGTGGGGGGGCTCAGAGTGACACCCCCAGCCCAGTCCTGCCTCTGGGGGGGCCCCACAGTGACACCCCCAGCCCTGTCCTGCCCCTCGAGGGTCCCGTGAGGGGCTGCCCTGTCCGTGCTGAGGAGCAGCCAGGTGCCACGTCCGTGTCCCCAAGCCTGTCGTGCCTTGTGCCGCTGTCCCCAGGACGTGGGCAGTGCCCGGCCCGGTGCCTTCCCCCCACTCAGGGGGGGTCTCTGGGGTTCTGCACCCCCGGAACGCTTCGGGGCTGCTGCTGCTGATCTGGGGGTGCCCTTGGGACATCCTGAGCGCAGCCGCCATCCCTGGGGGGCTGGGAGTGGAGCGGGCTCCTTCCCCCCAAAAAAAACTACCTCTGTGAGCGCCGGGAGCTGCCGGGGGTTCGGATCCCTCCGCAAAGTCCCCGCTCCGCTCTGGGAGCTGCTTCAGGCTGGAGAAATTCCACCTTTTTGTGCAAGCAGCGGGATAAAGCCGGGCACGGCCCCATCCGCCTGCCCGACCTCCCCCCCGTGCTGCCCCGGGGGACCCCGAGCCTTGACGAGAACTGCTTTGAACTGAAAGGTTTATGTGCAAAATCCTAATTAAAAAGAAATGATTGAAGAGCTCTTCCCTTCGGTGGGGACGAGGAGGAGCCCCCTGCCCCGGTGGGCGGGAGCGGGGGGTCCCTTACCGGGCCGTCACCCGGCACCCTCCGCCATCTGCTCTTCCTCCGCCTCTTCTTCCTGCCGGGGCCGAGCTGGCCCCTTCCCCGACCCCCCCGCACCCCGTTTCGTGCCCGGTGCTACCGGGAGCGGTGCCGGTGCCGAGCCCGGGCATCCCCCGCCCCCGCCGCGCGTCACTTTTTCCAGCCTTTCCTCGTGTTTACGTGGCTGCGCTTGGCTCGGGGCGCTGGAGCCCTGGGGAGGGTTTTGGGGGTGCAGCAGGAGGGGCCCTTCCTCCTTTTTTTTGGGATAAAAACCAAGATTTGGGTCCCCCCGCAGCGCTGGGGAGAAACGCGGAGCATCCCCCGGGCCGGGAGCTTGCGGGGTCCCGGGGGTTCGTCCCTACGGCCCGGGTGGGGGTGGGAAAAGCTGTCCGAGCCCCAAAAAGCAGAGGGAGGTGGGAGGGCGGAGGAGCAGGCGGGAGCCTTTGTGTCTGGGCAGGCTCTGGCGGTGATTAGGGCTTCGCCGCGGTTATAAATGGCCGGTCGTTAAAGGGGTTTATGGCCCTGGAAATGAGAAGCAGCCGCCGGGCCCCAGCCCCCGGCGGGTGCGGGATGCGGGTCAGGGTCCGGGGACTGCTTCCATCTCACCCTGGGGTCCCTCCGGATGGGGCTGGGGCAGGGGGTGGCGTCCCGGGGCTGGGGAAGGGTCCCAGAATTGGGCTGGATGAGGGTCCTGGGCAGGGTCCTGGAGAGGAGTGAGAGTCCGGAGCCAGGGCAGGGTCTGGAGCTGAGTGAGGGTCCTGGAGCTGAGTGAGGGTCCTGGGCAGGGCAGAGTGCTGAGCTGAGGGTCCTGGAGCTGAGTGAGGGTCTGGAACCGGGGCAGGGTCCTGGAACTGAGTGAGGGGCTGGGGCACGGCAGGGTTCTGAGCTGAGTGAGGGTCCTGAGCTGAGTGAGGGTCCGGAACCAGGGCAGGTCCTGGGCTGAGTGAGGGTCCAGGACAGGGCGGGGTCTGGAGCTGAATGAGGGTCCAGGGCAGGATCCTGAGCTGAGTGAGGGTCCTGAGCTGAGTGAGGGTCCGGAACCAGGGCAGGTCCTGGGCTGAGTGAGGGTCCAGGACAGGGCGGGGTCTGGAGCTGAATGAGGGTCCAGGGCAGGATCCTGAGCTGAGCGAGGGTCCGGGGCAGGGCAGGGCCCCGCCGGGGGGCACAGCGGAGCTCCCGGGGCACGTGGGCTCCCTCCCGCCCCACAGCCGGGGGTCCCTCGGCCGCGGGGCCGGGCCGGGCTCGGTCGCGCCGTCCAGCTGCGTTTCATTTCCGCAGCGGCCGTGGCCAGGGGCGGGGGGTGGGGGCTGCGCCCCGCCAGCTGGGGAGGATTTGTGGGGACAAGGGGCGGAGAGCAGGGGTGACCTGCCCTTGCTCCGCTTCACCCCCCACAGAGGAGCCCCCCGATCTTCTCTCCCCAGTTGGGATGACCCCCAAAACTTCGGTACCCGACAGCCCCTCCCGGGCACCGGGGAGGGGGGAACGTCCCCAAGCACCCCCCAGGAGGGGCTCTGGGGCACCGACAGCGATTTGGGGGGGCCCACGGGGGTACCGGGGCAGCGATGGAGCCCTGCCCGGGCTGGGGGAGCCCCCCCAGGGTTTGCGCTCAGGATTTCTGCGGTTTGTGAGGATTTCTGCCGGGAAGGGGGTGCGGGCGGTGCGTGGTGCCGGATGTTTCCGGAGGCTGAGCCAGCTGCTGCTGCTGCCCTGGCACCGGCGCACGGCTCCCAGGGACGCCGTGCCCTTCCCGGGGGTGACCGGCGCTCCGGGGGGGTCATTGGGGGCCAGTGGCTCGCCTGCCCCCCCAGGGCTTCAGCAGGATGGGAGGGAGGGAGAGGAGGGTGGGGTGCGAAGGCTTTATCCGCCCCTCCCGGCAGAATCCCTTCCAGATGTGGGGCTGCCGGTGCTGCGTCCCCCAGCGGGGCACGGTACCCAGCACGGGACGAGGGGCGCGGGGTTGGCAGGCAGAGCCCACCCCAGACCCCTCCACCCGCTTCCCCTGGCATTGAGATGCTTTTTTCCCCTCCCCGTTTTCCCCAGATTCGGAGCAAACCCAAACTCCCGTCCCTGGGGTGAAGGGTTTGGGGTGACCCTTCACCAGCCCCCCCTCCCCGAGCCCCTGCAGCGCTGCCTGTCGCTGTCCCCGTGCCCCGTGGCACGGCCCTGGCGCTGCTGCAGGTGAGGTTGTGTCAGAATTCCTGTTCTTCAGGGGATTAGGGATGCGGCAAGCCGGGACTTGGCTCGCCGGCCCCAGCCGGAGCTTCTGGGGGCACGGGGGGGATGTGGCCCCGAGGAGGGGGGACCACGGGGGGCTCTGTGGGGCCTTTTCACCCCAAATCGGAGAAGCAGCCTCTCTCCTTCCATTCCAGAGCTCCTGCTGAACCAGAAACGCCATTTCTTGCTTTTCTTGCCCAGAACCGGCCCCGCGGCACAGCCTGCCCTTCCCGCGGCGGTTCCCAGGGCTCAGAACCATCGGGAAATCCCTCGGGAGGCTGGGAGGAAATCCCTCCTTACCTGCCTGGCAGCGGGGATTCACCTGCCCCGGGCAGCTCGGCCACAGCCCCCGAGCGTGCACAGACTCGGGTGGGAGTTGGGAGTGAGTTGGGGACGGGTTTGGGGGTTTGGGAGTGGGTTTGGGATTTTGGGAGTGAGTTTCTGAGTTTGGGAGTGAGTTTGTGTGTGAGTTTGGGAGTTTGTGTGTGATGGTGGGGCTGGGAAGGTCGCGGATCAAGCCCACGTGTGTGCAAGCGAGCACGGGCACCTTGCACACGCCCGTGCCAGCAGCACAGCTGTGCAAACACGCGTGTCCTGTGCACGCTATTGGGGTGGGCACAGATGCGGGGGGGTTCAGCACATGTGGGGCACAGACAGATTTGGGGTGGTACAGACAGATACGGGTGGGTTCAGCACTTACGGGGTGCAGGCAGTTTCGGGGGGATGCTGGAGATTCGGGGGATCCAGGGAGATGCCCCAGCCTGGGGAGGGCAGGGAGATGAGCAGGGTGCGGATCTCGGGGGGACGGGAGGACTTTGGGGGGCACGGGCAGCCCGGGGGGTGCCTCCAGCACGGCAGATCGGGGCGGGGGGCTCCCCCGGGCTGTCCCTCGGCAGGTGAGCGCGGAGCCCCCGGGCCGGGGCCGGGGCGGGGGGTGGGACCAGCCCGGCGATAAAACGGCGGCGCGGGCGGGACGGGGCGGACGGAGGGAGCGGAGCCGCGGCGGGGCCGGTGCCGAGGGAGCGGCGGATCCCTCGAACCGCTCGTTCCCCCCTCGCTCCCCTCCCTGCGCCCCCCAGGCCGGCAGCCGCGATGCCCAACTTCTCCGGGAACTGGAAGATGAAGAGCTCGGAGAATTTCGAGGAGCTGCTGAAGGCGCTGGGTGAGTGGATCCCGCTCTGCGGGGCTCCCTCGGGCCGGGGGGGGTTCCCCACATTCCCCACCACATTCCCCCCCACAATCTCCCCTCCGAATCCTCTTCCAGCCGGGCAGTGCCGGTGCCCGGAGCCGCGGGGATCCCTCTGCTCCCCCTTTTAGCGAAGCCCCACGGAGGAGTCAGAGGCGCGAGGGGGGCGGGCGGCTCCCCCTCTTTCCTGCCTCAGTTTCCCCACTCTGGTGCTCCCCCAAACCCGCACCACCCCAATCCGCCCCCGCCCCCCATCCCAAAACCTCCCGCGGGCTCACCTGCCCCGGTGTCCCCAAAACCAGCCCCGGCAGGACCCCTTTGTGGGGGTTTTGGGGTCCCGTTCTCCCAGGCCTCATCTCGGGCCCCTTTGCTCCCCACGGCGGAGCTGAGTGCCCGCTGAGCGGGGGGTGGGGAGGGCCAGGAGGTTGGGGGGGTCTCGGGGGGTCCCCGGGGCTTTGGGCAGGATCAAATCCAGCTCCCGCACTGCTCCCCTCCGCCTGACCCGCTCCTGGCCAGCCGGGGAGCTGCCGGAGCAGAATATTTTCCAGGTTAGGGGATACGTAACGAATATTTCAGGATAATTATCACTTTCTTGGGTTTCACTCCCGATCCCCCCGTCGCCCCTTCTCCCCGCCCTGGCCTCGCTGATGGAAGCGGCTCGGGGAAACCTCAGCAGGAAAATAAATCTGCCAGCCCCCCCCGAGCCTTCCTCCTTTCCCACAAGTGGGGGCTCCCCCCGGCTGCTCCCTCGGGGGGCTGGGGGCTTTGTCAGCTCCAGCCCCCCGGGCTGACCCCACAGACCGCCCGAGCCTTGCTTTTGCTCCCTTTGGGGGCTCTTTTTGCTCCCCCACCCCCGTCAGCATCATGGGGGGGGGGGGGGGGGGGGGGGCCCGAGCCTTGGTTTTGCTCCCTTTTGGGGCTCTTTTTGCTCCCCCACCCCCCCCAGCATCATGGGGGGGCTGTGTCTGCCCCGGTTTCGGGCACCCCCCGGGGTGAATCCGGCCTGGGGGGGTTCGACGTGGCCATCGAGGGGACCCCTCGGGGACACTGCGGGGGGGTTCGGCTCCCGGAGCCCCCCCCCGGCCCCTCCTGTGCCTCCTTTGTGCGGGGAGGGGGTCAGTCCCCAAACAATGTCCCCAAAGCCGCTGCCCTGTGACAGCCGGGGGCTCCGGGCCGTGATGGATGAGCCGCCTCTGGAGCGGGGACAAAGCCCCAGCTGCCCGCGGCTGCCGAGGGGGGCGCGGGACCCTCGGGGGGGGTCACGCAGGTCACCCAACGCAGAGCTGGGGCTGGGGCCCTTGTCCCCGCTGTCACCCCGCTCTGGGCCAGCCGAGCCCCCGTCACCCCCGGGCGCATCCGGCGCCGCCCCCGCCCCCTCCGCCAGGTAACGAGAGCCAGATGTGGCCCAGCTGTGCCGGGGGGGCTCGCCCCTTCCCCCCCGGGTTGCCTGGAGCCACCTGCAGCCCCGGCCGTGCCCCGGGGTGTGCCACCGCCCAGCGCTCACAGCTCGGTGGCACCGTGCCCCCGCGCAGGAGTGAACGTGATGCTGAGGAAGATCGCGGTGGCGGCGGCGGCCAAGCCGGCCGTGGAGATCCGGCAGGACGGGGAGAGCTTCTACATCCGCACCTCGACCCCCGTGCGCACCACCGAGATCCGCTTCAGGGTGGGCGAGGAGTTCGAGGAGCAGACGGTGGACGGGCGGCCCTGCAAGGTGCGGCGGGGCTGCAGCGAGTGTGAGTGAGTGTGAGTGCGTGAGAGTGAGTGTGAGTGTGTGTGAGAGTGAGTGTGTGAGAATGAGAGTGTGTGAGAGTGAGTGTGAGTGTGTGCAAGTGTGACTGTGGGTGTGAGAGTGAGTGTGTGTGAGTGCGTGAGAGTGAGTGTGGGTGTGAGAGTGTGAGTGTGGGTGTGAGAGTGTGAGTGTGGGTGTGAGAGTGTGAGTGTGGGTGTGAGAGTGTGTGAGTGTGAGAGTGACAGAGTATGTCGTGAGAGTTAGTGTGTGCAAGTGTGACTGTGGGTGTGAGAGTGAGTGTGTGTGAGTGCGTGAGAGTGAGTGTGGGTGTGAGAGTGTGAGTGTGGGTGTGAGAGTGTGAGTGTGGGTGTGAGAGTGTGAGTGTGAGTGCGTGAGAGTGAGTGTGAGTGTGTGTGAGAGTGAGTGTGTGAGAATGAGAGTGTGTGAGTGTGACTGTGGGTGTGAGAGTGTGAGTGTGTGAGAGTGAGTGTGAGTGTCTGTGTGAGAGTGAGTGTGTGAGAATGAGAATGTGTGTGAGTGTGAGAGCGTGAGTGTGCAAGTGTGAGTGTGTGAGACTGAGAGTGTGGGTGTATGGGTGTGAGACTGTGTGTGAGAGTGGGTGTGAGAGTGTGAGCATGTGAGTGTGTGTGAGAATGTGAGTGTGACAGTGTGTCAGTGTGAAAGTGGGTCAGTCTGTGTGTGGGTGTGTGTGTGTGAGAGAGTGTGTGAGTGTGAGTCTTTGTGTGAGTGTGATTAAGGGTGTGTGGGTGTGAGACTGACTGTGAGTGAGTGTGTGGGTGTAACTGTGTGTGTGTGGGTTTGTCTGTGTGTGAGTGTGTGAGCATGAGTGTGAGTAAGGGTGTGAGTGTGTGTGTGAGTGTGAAACTGTGAGTGCGAGTGTGAGAGTGAGAGTGTGATTGTGTGAGAGTGAGTGTGAGTGCGTGAGAGTGAGTGTGTGCGAGTGTGACTGTGGGTGTGAGAGTGTGAGAGAGTGTGTGAGAATGAGAATGTGGGTGTATGGGTGTGAGACTGTGTGTGTGAGGTGGTGTGAGAGTGTGAGCATGTGACTGCGTGTGAGCATGTGAGTGTGAGAGTGTGTCAGTGTGAAAGTGGGTCAGTCTGTGTGTGAGTGTGAGACCGTGTGAGTGAGTGTGGGTGTGTGTGTGTGAGAGAGTGTGTGAGTGTGAGTCTTTGTGTGAGTGTGATTAAGGGTGTGTGGGTGTGAGACTGACTGTGAGTGAGTGTGTGGGTGTAACTGTGTGTGTGGGGTTGTCTGTGGGTGAGTGTGTGAGCATGAGTGTGAGTAAGGGTGTGAGTGTGTGTGTGTGAGTGTGAAACTGTGTGAGTGTGGGTGTGTCTGTAAGTGTGACTGAGTATGACTGTGTGCGAGTGTGGGTGTGACTGTGTGTTTCTCTGCATGTGTGAGAAACTGAGTGTGACTGGCAGTGTGTGATTGTGAGTGTGGGTGTGTCTGTGTCATACTGTGTGTGACTGTGAGTGTGTGTATGAATGTGAGTGTGTGTGACTGTGAGCATGAGTGTGACTGCATGTGAGTGTCAGTGTGTGAGTGTGACTGTGTATGAATGTGAGTGTGACTGTGGGTGTAACTGTGTGTGTGTGGGTTTGTCTGTGTGTGAGTGTGTGAGCATGAGTGTGAGTAAGGGTGTGAGTGTGTGTGTGAGTGTGAAACTGTGAGTGTGGGTGTGTCTGTAAGTGTGACACTGAGTATGACTGTGTGCGAGTGTGGGTGTGACTGTGTGTTTCTCTGCATGTGTGAGAAACTGAGTGTGACTGACAGTGTGTGATTGTGAGTGTGGGTGTGTCTGTGTCATACTGTGTGTGACTGTGAGTGTGTGTATGAATGTGAGTGTGTGTGACTGTGAGCATGAGTGTGACTGCATGTGAGTGTCAGTGTGTGAGTGTGACTGTGTATGAATGTGAGTGTGACTGTGTGTGTGACTGTGTGTGTGACTGTGTGAGTGTGACAGTGTGTGTGACTGTGTGTGTTTCTGTGTGTCTGTGTGTGCACACTTTGCACAGGGCAGCAGCTCTCCCTCCTGTGTCGCACACGCCTGTGCACACGCACTGCACACACATCACACGGGGCACTGCTGTGCACACGTGTGTGTGTGTGTGTGTGCAGGGACACTGTCTGTGCACAGCGAGTTTGCACACACGTTTGGCACGAGGCCAGGAGCTCTCACGTGTCTGTGTGTCTGTCTGTCTGTCTGTGCACACAGCCCCTTCTCCTCGCAGCTGCTTCCCCTCCTCCTGCACCCCGGGCTCTCCTTTGCCCCCCAGGCCTTTCCTGAGCTTCCCATCGCCCCCTGCACCTCCATCCCCTCCTGCACCCCCAACCCTTCCCAGTGTCCCCAACCCCTCGTTGTGCCCCTCAACCTCTCCCTGTGCCCCCAACCTGTCCCTTGCACCCCCTGCACCTTCCCCGTGCACCACAAAACCTCAACCCCTCATTGTACCCCCAACCTCTCCCCATGCCCCTCAACCCCTTCCCTCTGCCCTCCACCCCTCATGGTGCCACTCAACCGTTTCCCCGTGCCCCCAGCCCCTTCCCTGTGCCATCAACTCCTCGTGGTGCCCCTCATGGTGCCCCTCAACCCTTTCCCTGTGCCCCCAGTCCCTTCCCTGTGCCACTCAACCCCTCGTGGTGCCCCTTATCCCCTCGTGGTGCCACTCAACCCCTCTCTGTGTCATCAACCCCTCATGGTGCCCCTCAACCCCTTCCCTGTGCCCCATCCCCTTCCCTGTGCCATCAACCCCTCATGGTGCCCCTCAACCCCCTCCCTGTGCCCCCAGCCCCTTCCCCGTGCCCCTCAACCCTTTCCCTGTGCCCCTCAACCCCTTCCCTGTGCCCCCAGCCCCTTCCCCGTGCCCGATGGGGGGGAAGGGGACAGGAGGAGAGGGAAGGGGACAGGATGGGGGGGAAGGGGACAGGACGGGCACGGCCGCCCCCGTGACCGACCCCGCTTCCCCCCGCAGACCATGACGGCCGATGACGTTGTCTGCACCAGGGTCTACATTCGGGAGTGACCCCCCCGCTCACCGACCCCCCCCAATACCCCCCCAGCCCGTGTCCCCTCAGTCCCCTGCACTCATCCCCCTGTCGCAGGGGGGGTGTCGCATCCCCCCGCGGGGGTACAGCAGCGAACCCCCTTTTTTTGGGGGGGCACACACGCACGGATTGCCCTCCCCGTGCAGGGCGGGGCTCTCCGGGGGCAGCGGAATCTCCGGTCCCGTTCTGGCTCCGCCGCGCTCGGGGCCTGGCGCGGAGCCGGGCTGCGGCGGGGGGTAACGCGGCCCCTCCCTGCCTCTTGGGCTGCCTTGAGCTGGTTTGGGTTCGGGCTGCTGTTGGTTCCCGCAGCCCCCAGCCCTGCCTCGCGACCCCTCCCCAGTATTTATTTGTGAATATGGTGCCAGATGGGAACACCAAACCCCCCAGTCTGGGGCAGTGCCAGGTCCCAGCGCCCCCCCCCAGGGCCCAACCTCCCTCTGTTGCCTCCCCCTTTTTCAATAAATGTCCTGTGACCCCCCCGTGGTATCCCTGTCTCTCCTGCTGGCCCCACTGGCACACAGATCCCACTCCCTGGGTCTCTGGATCCCACATCCCAGATTCTGCACTCCAGATCTGCACCCCGGATTGTGCACCCCAAATCCCACAGTCTGAATCCCACACCCCGGATTCTGCACCCCAGATCCTACAGTCTGAATCCCACATCCCAAATTCTGCACCCCAAATCCTAAAATCCTACAGTCTGAATCCCACACCCTGCATCCTGCACCCCAGATCTCACACCCTAAATCCCACACCCCAAATCCCTCCCCTGGATCCCGCTTCCCAAATCCCGCACCCCAAATCCCACACCCCAGATCCCGCACCCCAGATCCCGCACCCCGGATCCCACAACCCAAATCCTGCACCCCAGATCCCACACTCCAAATCCTGCACCCCAAATCCCATACTCCAGATCCCTTCCCTGGCTCCTGCACCCCAGATCCCACACCCCAAATCCTGCACCCCAAAACCCCACACTCCAGATCCTCCCACCCCCCGGACCCCTCCCCTGGCTCCCGCACCCCAAACCCCGCACCCCAAATCCCACACCCCAGATCCCGCACCCCAGATCCCTCCTCTGGATCCCACACCCCGGATCCCACAACCCAAATCCTGCACCCCACATCCCATATTCCAAATCCTGCACTCCAGATCCCACACCTCGGATTCCACACCCCAAATTCCATACTCCAGATCCCTTCCCTGGCTCCTGCACCCCAGATCCCACACCCCAAATCCTGCACCCCAAAACCCCACACTCCAGATCCCTGCCCCCCACATCCCACACCCCAGATCCTGCATCCCAAATCCCACACCCCGGATCCCTCCCCTGGATCCCACACCCCGGATCCCAGAACCCAAATCCCGCACACCAAATCCCACACCCCAGATCCTGCATCCTAAATCCCACACCCCGGATCCCTCCCCTGGCTCCCGCACCCCAAACCCCGCACCCCAAATCCTACACCCGAGATCCCGCACCCCAGATCCCTCCCCTGGCTCCTGCACACCAGATCCTACACCCCAGATCCCTCCCCTGGCTCCTACACCCCAAATCCCACACCCCAGATCCCGCACCCCAAATCCCTCCCCTGGATCCCGCACCCCACACCCCAGATCCCCGCACCCCGGATCCCTGCCCTGCCCCCTGCCCCCCACATCCGCGTTGCGCAAGGGGCCGGGGGCGAGGGCGGCAGCCGGGTTGGCACAGCCCGGCGTGGGAAGCGGGAGGTGGCTCCGGGGTGACCGTGGGGTGACCGTGGGGTGACCGTGGGGCCGGGCTGTTGGGCTCTGCCTCAGCTCTCAGCATGAGCCCCCATCCCGGCTGGGGCGGGGGCACCCGTGCCTTTGTTATGTGGGTTTATTAATCACCGCGCTGCCCGATAATTGCCCTGCACGGGATGGCATTAATTAGCCCAGGATACGGGGGGTGCAGGGAGGGTCGGGGTGCAGGACTGCGGTGCCTCGAGGTGTGGGGTGCCGCTGCCCCCCGTTCCCTGCTCGGCTCCCCCAGAACGGGCCGGGACCCCCGGGGGCAGGGGGGGCACTGCCCCTCCGAGCGGTGAGGGGGATGGAGAAGGGATGGAGAAGGGAGCCAGGGCTCAGGGCTGGCTGCACCCCCACGCCCGAGCTGCGATCCTGCACCCCGGGAGCTCGTCCAGGAGCAGCGAGGGTGGAATTACACCTTCCCTGGGGAGGAGGAGGAGAACAGCAGGGGGAGGAAGGCTCCGGTATCTCCAGGTGGACGCTTGGCAGCCGCCCATCACCCCTGGCGCCATTCCCAGGGCCGTGTCCTGCCTCTCCCGAGGGTGGGCGCGGGACCCGGCCCCCTCCCCATTTCAGCCACGCGGCCCCGGAGACCCCGGGACCGCCGGGAGCCGCCGGTAATGGAATCCAGCCGCCCCCCCGGCCCCGAGGGCTTCCCCCCGCTGGAGGAATATCCGCTTTCCCCGAGAGCCCTGGGGACGGCTCCGGTTTGCCTCCGCCTGGGGGGATCGCTGGGGGCACCTCGAGAAATGGGGAGGGGGCTGGGGCTGCCTGCGCTCCCCCCACAGCGGCCCGGGGGTGCTGGGGGGGCTCCGGAGGGGCAGCGCGGGAGGTGCCCCCTCCCCGCAGCTCTCGGAACAAAAGCAAATTCCTCCAGCGGAGCTGGGCCGGGGGGGCCGTGAGTAACCCCAAAAGTGCTGCGGAGGCTGAGCCCCCCTCCCGCGGCTCCGCCTGGGTGGTGTGGAGGTCCCGGCGCCTCTAATCCGGCACTAATCCTCGCCGGTGACCCCGCTGCCCCCCGGGCTGGGGAGGGGGCCGGGCTGGCCCCTCGCCTTTCATCCGCGGAGACAAAGCGGGGCCCGGCCCCCTCCCCGCTCGGGGAATGAATGCCCGAGCCTGGGGGGCCCTGGCCCCTCACCCCGGAATTCTTGCGCGCATTTTCTGGAAGCAGGGGTTGGGCTGGGTGTGGGGGAGCTGGATCGCATCCCCCTCCCTGCTCCGTGCCGGAGCCATCGGGAGGGAGAGGAGGGGGCTCGGATCGGCCTGAAGCCAGAGGGGTGCGCTGGGCCGGGATGTCCCTGCGGGGGACAGGGGGACACGACAGCCTTGGGGGGGGGTCCCCCCACTCCGGTGACGCTGGGGATGGGGCAGAGGAGGGAGGCTGAGCTGCAGGAACAACCCCAGACACACAGATCCAGCCTGAGCCCAGCCAAGCTGTGCCTCCCAAGGGCTGGGGTCACCCCCCGGTCACCCCCAGACCCTCCGGGCCGGCTGCTGCCCAGCTCGGAGCCCACCCTGGATGGTCCAGGCTGGCTCTGAGGCATCAAAAACCACGCTGGGGCCAGGGAGGTGCCAGCCCCAGGGCCCCTCAGCTGCCCTCTCTCAGGACGTGTGACAAGCTTGGGGACCCTGCTCAGTGCCTGGCACACCTGGGGCACCACGCAGCCACGGTGCGCCGTGCCCAGGTGGGCTCTGGCACACGGCACAGGGCTCCTTGCACCAGCGTGGCGAGAGGGGTCCCTGCTCTGGGGGTGCCCCCATGCAGCCGGGGTGCCCCAGCGTCCCCGGGGTGTCCCCACGGCTCAGGGCAGCAGGGACGCTGACGCTGGGTGGCTCAGCAAGGCGTGGCGAGCCCCGGGGGACAGTGACTGTCACCTCCCAAGCGGCTTCAGCCCTCGCCGTGCCCGGCGGGCCGGGGGCTGGGCAGGATCCCCCCCTCCCCTCCCCTCCCACTCCCCTCGGCTGGCGGCCGGCCAGCATTGTTCTCCTTGCCTCCTCCTCCTCCTCCTCCTCTCCCCCTGCATGGGCAGCTGGCGCCGCAGCTTTCCTGGGTTCCAGGGGAGGGGGAGCCCCCAAGCCCAGCCCCACAGACCCCCCAGCCCGGGCTGCCCTGGGCAGGGGGGCTTCACCCCCATCCCACTGCGAGGGGAGTCGAGCCAGCAGCTCCATGTGGAGGGGGCAGGGGGGGTTGGGATGCAGCTGACCCCTCAGTAGGGTATTTTTTTTTGGGGGGGGCGGTTCCCCTTAACAGCTCGGCAGCCCAGCTCTGTGCCATGGCTGGAACCTGCCATGGGGGCTGAAAAAGGGGGGCTGGAGCTATTTTGGGGGGAGTCTGCCTCCATTGTGGGGTCTCCAGGGAGGCTGAGATGATGCAGAGGGTCCGGGAGGGTGAGTATTTTTTTTTTGGGGGGGGTTCCCCTTAACAGCTCGGCAGCCCAGCTCTGTGCCATGGCTGGAACCTGCCATGGGGGCTGAAAAAGGGGGGCTGGAGCTATTTTGGGGGGAGTCTGCCTCCATTGTGGGGTCTCCAGGGAGGCTGAGATGATGCAGAGGGTCCAGGAGGGTAAGTGGGGATGGGTTCTGGAAGTGACAGGGACAGGGTGAGGGACTGGGGGTGTGCAGGGGGTCAGGACTGTGGCAAGACAGGGCAGAGGGACACGGGGGGGTTGCAGGGCTGGCAAAGAGGGGAAAGGAAGTGGGACAGACCCTACCCAGGCTGGGGGTCTGTGTGTGTGCTCCCATGCTGCAGCAGCAGGAGCTGGGAGCAGCCGGGGGTAGGGGAAGGCGGGACCCGGCACCTCCCGGTTGTGTAAGGATGGGGAAACTGAGGCACACCCGAGATCAAAGCGGGGCAGAGTCACTGCCCCGGGGCTCCTGCTGCCCCACGCTCACCCCCACACCCTGGCCCACGCTCAGCCCCACACACCGAGTCGGGATTCGCGTTTAATGCCAAGTACAAAGTCACCACCCCCCCCTCCCCCAAAAAAAACAAAAAAAAGAAAAACTTCTAAAATTCTTCCAAAAATAAATTAAAGGGAAGGGACGGGTCCCCCCCAACCCCTCCTGTCCTGTGCAAAGAGAAAAGAGCCACCCCCTCTGCATCCCAGGCTCCAGTAAGGAAAGAAACGGGCAAAGCAAGGAGCTGGGGGCCCGGGCAGCAGGACCCCCCCAGTGTGGGGCTGGGAGTGGGGCACCCCCAGAGGGGCTGGGCACTTCCCCTCCTCCCCACACTGCCTCCAGCACAAGCTTAGCCCCACCACGGCAGATGGGGAAACTGAGGCAGGGGCAGCGGGTACCCCCTCCTCCTCCTCTCCAGTGCCCACCGGCCCCCCAAGCCCCCTGCCCGCGGCAGCCCCGGCGCTGGAGGCAGGGCAGGGGTCCCACCCGGCAGGGCAGGGGTCTCACCCGGCAGGGCAGGGGGGCTCTGCCGGCTCCCGGGGGGCCGGGGAAGGTGAAGTGCTGTCGGAAAGGCGACCCTATGTACATCCCTGAACGTGGTGGCTCCGCCAGCCCCCGGCCCTGCCCCCGCCCCCGGGGAGGGGGCTCCGGGCTCCCCTCCCCGCTATGAGGTCTGGCACTGAACGTGCTGCCTCATCCCGTCCTCGAAGTCATCCTCGTGATAGGCTTCCCCGGTGTAGGGCCGCCGGCCCGGCCCACCGTGAGCGCTGTAATCGCTGAGCTCCACCTCCTCCGTGTCCTCCGTGGCCATCACCTCCTCCTGCGGCGGGAAGAAGGCTTGCAGCTGCCGCAGGCGATCCGTGGGGAGCCAGCCGGGCTCGGGGAACTTCACCTGGCACCGGAGAGAGGATGTGAGATGCGGGAGGCAACGCGGGAAGGCCAGGAGTGGGAAATAGCAACTCCCGCTGCCCTGCTCACCTCGAACTGCAGGATGAGCTTTCCCTTCTGGAAGGGGCTCCTGTAGACAGGCATGCCCTCGTTGGGGATGCACTTCAGGTCCCCAGGCCGGATCACGTCACCTGAGGGAGGGAGATGAGGGTCACCCTGCTGTGCTGGCAGCTCCTGCTGTGACTGATGGGTCTCCTTGAGCCAGGGTTTATAAATCCCCAATCTCTTGGAGATTTTTATCACAGCCAAGATAGCTCAGCCACCTTAGAAGGCAGAACATCAGCAGGATGGCTTCTGCGGTGGTGTTGGAAACAGAAAAGTTTCGATAAAAGGCAAATTAACAAAACTGAGCCAGGTGCAAGAGGTTCTTGCTCCTGGTAAAACCTCCCACAAAAGGGATTATTTCTTTTGTTCTCTTCTGTTTCTAGTGAATTGCTTAGGCGGGACTTTTTGGCTCCTGTCCAGCTGGCTATCCTTAAGTCTGAGGTGAATTCCCCAGATCTATGAGGCATCTTTACCTCACTAAGGAGAAACACGTGTAGGTTTTTTTCCTTTTTAAGAAGACAAAGGATAGTTTTGTCACTCCATCAACAGGGGGCACATTCCTATAGCGCTGTGTCACTGCCAGGTGCATCCCGAGCCCCCTCACCTGGCGGGGAGGACACGAGCAGGGTGCGGTTGTCCAGGGTGTGGATCACCTGCCTGCACCCACACAGGGCGTCTGCCAGGCTGATCTCCCTCCTAACAATGAGGTCGTCGCCGCTGCGCCGGAAAACAGGATGTTCCTTCTGATCCAGGACAATGATGATGTCCCCGGGCTCCAGGCCGGGCACCTGGTCCCCCTCCTCGTGGAAGGTGATTTTCTGCCCGTCCTTCATGCCTGTGAGGAGGGCACAGAAAGCTCAGAGCCCGTGTGGCACCTCGGGGTGACCCTGCTTGCTGCAGCATTTCTCTTCACAGAGAAAAGCAAGGCACAGTTCTCCCCAGGAACACTTCTGGGTTTCACATTCTCTGAACATCAGAGAAAGAAAAGACAGTTCCTACCACTTGCTGTGCCTGTGTTGTGCCAAAGCAGAATGCAATATGGAGATTGTTTACCCGAAGTGAGGATGTTTTGTTTCCTTGGCCAATTAGGGCCAAGTGAGTGTGTGTGTGTGTCTGGGACTGTCATGAGAGAATCAGAGAGAAGTGCAGCTCTGTGCACTTGTGAGCAAGGCTGAGTGCCAGACAGATTCAGTTTAGATGCAATGTATGCAATATAGTATAATAAAGTAATTATTTAGCCTCCTGATAAGTTGGAGAGGCACTGTTCTCTCTCCCCACGTCGGAGCTGCCCTTGTTTCGATGCCGGCTCCTGCTCCTGGCTCACCTTTATCCAGGTGCACGCTGAGGATCTTCTTCTCCCGCACCACCTTGCGGCCGTTGCAGGTGAGGCAGCAGTCCCGGGGCCGGATCCACTCGCCCTGGCCCTGGCACTGGGAGCACACGGTCTGGATCTGCTGGATCATGCTGGGCCCCAGCTGGTGGATGCGAACCTCCATGCCCGAGCCGTGGCACTTGGGGCACCTTCTCTGGGCGCCCTCCCGCACCCCGCAGCCTGTGCCGAGGGGGGCAGGGGGTCAGACGGGGGGTAGGGGGTGCTGGGGTGGCCCCCCGGCCCCTGCAGCCCCTCACTCACCTCCACACTTGCGGCAGATGATGTTTTTCTGCAGGGACAGCTTGCGTGTGGAGCCGTTGTACAGATCCTCCAGTGACACCGAGAGCTGGTGCACCACTGTCTTCCCTGGGCACGGGGAGAGCCTGCCTCAGCACCAGCCACGTGCCACCCCCCGTGCCACGGCCAGGCAGCCTCTGCACACCACTCAGGCTCTCCAGGTGAGCCAGTCCTGCTCCTTCCTCAAGGACAGAGGCAGGGACAGGGACAGGGATGGATTCACTCCAAGCCTGGATGCTGCCGGCTGCCCTGGGGCACTGCCGGGTCCCCAGCTGGGCAGGGCACAGCTCCCACGCCAGGGCTGCCAGCCACCCCCAGCTGCTCCAGCTGGAGTGGCTGGGGATGACTCCCTCGGCCTCCTAATTGCCCTGCAATTAACTCGTGCCACCTCAGCAAGAAGCCGTGGCGAGTCACCGTGTCCCTGTGACCCGGGCCCAAGGCATCCCCACAGTCACCGGGCTGGCCCCGGCCCCGCGTCCTGCTGCCACCCCCGGGGCCACTCGGGTGACTCAGCCCCAGCCCCGGGCACGGGGACGGCGGGGGAAAGCCGGGACAGGGACAGGGAAGGGCTCTTTGAAGAGAGGCAGGTGGAGAAAGTAATGAGGGTGGTGAGGAGCTGCAGCGGGCTGAGCCGCAGGGGCAGAGACAGCCTGGGGGGCACGGCTGCATCCCCGAGCCAGTGCCATGCTGGGCACAGCCTCCTGTCATGCCAAGGTTCCAGGAAGGCTGTCACTCCTGAGACGGCTCTGTGCTGGGCACCAGCACTGACACACGGGGTCCCAGCAGGTCTGTGACCCCCCAGCCAATGTCACACTGCATTTGGGTGCCAGCCCCCTCCCAGTCACGCTTCCCAGCGGTGCCTTGTCCTCCAAACCAGTGCTGTGGTGGGCACCAACCCCCTCCCACCAAGAGGTGCCAGCAGGTTTGCCACTTTCTCACCTTGCTGGGCACCAGCCCCCTCCCACCAAGAGATCCCAGCAGGTTTGTCACCTCCTGTCACCTCCTGAGTGAGGTGCTGGGCACCAGCCCCCTCCCACCAAGAGGTCCCAGCAGGTTTGTCACCTTCTCACCTTGCTGGGCATCAGCCCCCTCCCACCCACCCCAGGGTCACGGCGAGTCCCTCACCCCCTCGCCCCTCACCTCTCCTGTCTGCCCGGCCACGCATCCTCACTCCCCCTCCAAAGAAGAGGTCGAAGATGTCCATGGGGGAGCCGAAGCCGCTGCCACCCCCGCGGCCACCCAGGCCACCTTCCTTCATGGCCCGCTCGCCGCCGCGGTCGTAGAGCGCCCGTTTGTGGGCGTCCGACAGCACCTCGTAGGCCTGGGAGATCTGCTTGAACTGCGGAGGGGAGAGGGGGGTCAGGGGGGCCAGGCTGGCCTTGGGGGGTGCTGGGGGGCTGCACCTACCCGCTCGCCCTCGCTGGGGTTCTTGTCGGGGTGGTAGCGCAGTGCCAGGCGCCGGTATGCCCGCTTGATCTCGTCCAGGCTGGCGCCCGGCCGCACGCCCAGCAGGTCGTAGTAGCCCGTCTCCTTCACCATCTTCCCGTGCTGTGACGTGCTGGGACAGGACGCGGCCGTGAGCCTGGCACTGCCACCCAGCCCGGAGCTCCGCGTGACCCGTGACACCCCGACATGGGCAGGGACAGCCCCCCAAAACCCCGCTGAGCCCTGCTGTATCCCCACCTCGCAGTGGGACAGGGGGTGGTGACGGCAACAGCGCGACAGCCAGACCCCACACGGGGCTGGGGGATGAACCCCAAGTCCCGTCCCCCCAAAAAGGCTCTGACCCCTGTTCTCCCTCACGCACAGCCCTGCCCCAAGTGTCCCCCCCCAGCAGCAGCAGCATCCCGCGGGTGACAGGGGATGTCCCAGCCGGTGACAGCCCGCTCCGCGGGGTCAGCCAGGCACCGCACGGGGGTCCGGCCAGCAGGGCCGGTCTCGGGGGTGCCCCGTGCCCTCCCGGGCCGTGTGTCGCAGCCGATAAGCCCCGCGTGGGGTGCGGACAGGTTTATCTCGCGGGGGGACGCGGGGAGCGGCCGTGACCCACGCGCGGTCAATAACCGCGCCCCGCTGCGGAGCGGCTCCCCCGGGGAGCGCCGCCGGCTCCGACCCGCCCCGGGCCGGCTCCAGCGCGGGATCCCCGCGGCCGGAGCGGGGTCAGTGCCCCGGGACCCTCGGGGCCGAGGCTGGGGCAGGGTCGGTGCAAGGCAGGAGCCCGTGCGGTGCGGCTCGGGAGGCAGTGACGCGGTGACACCGCGCTCACACCGCACAGCGGTGCGGCGGAGCGGAGCCGAGCGCGGCGCTCCCGGAGGAGCGGTCCCCTCAGAGCCCCTCAGAGCCCCGCAGGCCCTCAGCTCATCCCGGGAGCCCCTCAGCGCTGCGCGGGCCGGGCCCGCCGCTGACACGGCGGTGTTTTGGGGGGTCCCAGGGGATGTTCGGGGGGTCCCAGCTGGTCACAGGGAGGATCCTGGAGGTCCCAGATGGTCACCGGCTCCTGCCGGGGGTCGGGGCAGCTCGGGGGGGAGCTCGGGGGGTCGCTCGGGGGGTCCCGGGGGTCGCGGCGGGGTCCCGGGGCCGCCCCCCCCTCACTCACCGCCGCCGCCGCTCCGCCGCCGTCTCCGAACTCTCTGGAAGCCGCGGGCACGCCCACCGCGATGACCCCGCCCCCTCCGCGCCGCACGCCGCGCCCATTGGTGGAAACGCCCTGCTCCGCCCGCCCATCACCTTGCGGGCCCGGCGCTGATTGGTTGTGGGGGCGGTCTTTGCCAGCTGGCGAGGCGGGGAGCCGCTTCGCCTCGCGATTGGCTGAGACGGCGGCCGGGCCTGGCCTCAGGGTTGACTCCTTGCGTCCCAGATGGTCACAGAGGGGTTCTGAGGGGAATTCTGGGGGTCCCAATGCGGGTAACCAGGGGAAGGAATCATGGGGATCCTTGGGGGGTCCCGGGGGGTCCCCTGGCAGCCCCAGTTCCTTTGTGGGGTGGTCCCAGGGGGGTCCTGGGGAGGATCCTGGGGGTCCCGTGAGGAAGAGCTGGCGAGGCGGGGAGCCGCTTCGCCTCGCGATTGGCTGAGACGGCGGCCGGGCCTGGCCTCAGGGTTGACTCCTTGTCTCTGATTGGCTGGAAGCGGGAGCCAATCAGAGGGAGGAGCGGGCAATGCGGTGCCGCGGGCGTCCGGCAGGGGGCGCGCGGGGCGCGCGGAGGGCGGGGCAAGGGGCGGGGCCAAGGAAAGGGGTGGGGCCAAACCAACATAATGAGATGTGGGCGTGGTCTGGTGGGTGGGGGGACATGGGGGTGACGCTGGCAGCGTTTGGGGGGCGCTGGGCTGGGGGCACAGGGATTTCTGGGCGGGCTGAGGGGTCACGGGCCAGGCTCGAGGTGCTCCCGGGGGTTTTGGGGGGTCCCGGGGGTGTTCGGGGGGTCCCAGCTGGTCACGGGGAGGATCCTGGAGGTCCCAGATGGTCACAGAGGGGTTCTGAGTGGAATTCTGGGGGTCCCAATGCGCAGCCCCAGTTCCTTTGTGGGGTGGTCCCAGGGGGGTCCTGGGGAGGATCCTGGGGGTCCCGTGAGGAAGGAATCACAGGGAGTCCTTGGGGGGTCCCGGGGGGTCCCCTGGCAGCCCCAGTTCCTTTGTGGGGTGGTCCCAGGGGGGTCCTGGGGAGGATCCTGGGGGTCCCGTGAGGAAGGAATCACAGGGAGTCCTTGGGGGGTCCCGGGGGGTCCCCTGGCAGCCCCAGTTCCTTTGTGGGGTGGTCCCAGGGGGGTCCTGGGGAGGATCCTGGGGGTCCCGTGAGGAAGGAATCACAGGGAGTCCTTGGGGGGTCCCGGGGGGTCCCCTGGCAGCCCCAGTTCCTTTGTGGGGTGGTCCCAGGGGGGTCCTGGGGAGGATCCTGGGGGTCCCGTGAGGAAGGAATCACAGGGAGTCCTTGGGGGGTCCCGGGGGGTCCCCTGGGCAGCCCCAGTTCCTTTCTGGGTGGTCACAAGGGGGTCCCCGGAGCTCTGGGGGTCCTAAAAGGTTGATGGGGGGGCCTGGGGAGCTCACAGCGAGGGTGGGGGGCCCTGGGAGGGTCTCTGCTCTCCCCTCCCCATGCCCTGGGGGTGCCCAGCAGAGCCTTTTGGGGGTGCCTGGCTGTGCTCCCCCTCCCCAAATGGGTTTTGTTTGGCAGGAGGGGGGCCAAGAGCGGGGAGGGGTCTGAACTGGGGGGGCTGAACTGGGGAAGCAGGGTCTGCCTTGGGGGGCAGGGGGCAGAACTGGGGCTGGGGTCTGAACTGGGGTCTGGGGTCTGTCCAGGGGTAAGAAATGGGGGCTGGAATTTGAACTGGGGGGGAAGAATTGGGGTCAGGGGTCTGAACCAGGGGACAGAACTGGGGACTGGGGTCTGCTCAGGGGTAAGAACTGGGGGTCTGGGGTCTCTCCAGGGGTCAGAATTTTGGTCAGGGTCTCTCCAGGGGTCAGAACTGGGGTCTGGGGTCTGCTCAGGGGGAAGAACTGGGAGACTGGGGTCTGAACTGGGGGTCTGGGGTCTCTCCTGGGGTCAGAACTGGGGGGGCTGGGGTCTCTCCAGGGGTAAGAAATGGGGGCCTGGGGTATGGCCAGGGGTAAGAACTGGGGGCTGGGGTCTTTCCATGGGTCAGAACTGGGGTCTGGGGTCTCTCCAGGGGTCAGAACTGAGGGCTGGGGTCTCTCCAGGGATCAGAATTTTGGTCAGGGTCTCTCCAGGGGTCAGAACTGGGGTCTGGGGTCTGCTCAGGGGGAAGAACTGGGAGACTGGGGTCTGAACTGGGGGTCTGGGGTCTCTCCTGGGGTCAGAACTGGGGGGGCTGGGGTCTCTCCAGGGGTAAGAACTGGGGGCTGGGGTCTCTCCATGGGTCAGAATTGGGGTCTGGGGTCTCTCCAGGGGTCAGAACTGGGGTCTGGGGTCTCTCCAGGGTCCGGGATCCCCCCCTTTCCCTTTGTCCCCGCTCGGGGGGGCTCTGGGGGGTCGTGGCCTCCTCTCCAGGGGGAGGGGGAGGATTCCGGGGGCTCCGGTGGGTTTGGGCTGCCGGGACCCCCGCCCCTCCCGGGGGTCCTGCAGGGGTCGGTCCCCCCTCCCCAGGTGAAACTCGAGCCCCGGCGGCAGCTGCTGCCCCGAGCCCGGCAGCTGCGCCCGGAATGCCGGGGAATTCCCGGGGAGCCGGAGGGGCCGGGCACCGGGAACGGGGAACGGGGATGGGGAATGGGGAATGGGGAACGGGGAACTGGGAATGGGGAATGGGGAATGGGGAATGGGGAACTGGGAATGGGGAATGGGGAATGGGGAACTGGGAATGGGGAACGGGGATGGGGAATGGGCTCCCCAAACTGGGAATAGAGCCCCCAAACTGGGAATGGAGCCCCCAAACTGGGACTGGAGCCCCCAAACTGGGACTGGAGCCCCAAACTGGGAATAGAGCCCCCAAACTGGGAATGGAGCCCCCAAACTGGGAATAGAGCCCCCAAACTGGGACTGGAGCCCCCAAACTGGGAATAGAGCCCCCAAACTGGGAATGGAGCCCCCAAACTGGGACTGGAGCCCCCAAACTGGGACTGGAGCCCCAAACTGGGACTGGAGCCCCAAACTGGAAATAAAGCCCCAAACTGGGAATGGGCTCCCCAAACGGGGACTGGAGCCCCCAAACTGGGACTGGAGCCCCAAACTGGGAGTGGAGCTCCCAGCCCCCCTGTGGCAGCTGTTGGGGACGAGGGGCTGGAGCCAAGGGCCCTTCCTGTCCCTGTCCCCTCCTGTCCCTTCCTGTCCCCTCCGGGCGGTGACTCAGGGCTGGCTGTGTCACATCCTGGCCCCAGCACGTGCCCCCGGCCTGGCACCGTGCCCACCCCTCCCCTGGGCACCGGGAGCGGCTCCTGGGGGCTCAGCTTTGGCACAGGGGGCAGGGCCAGCCCCGGGGGTGGCACGGCCCCCTTGTCCCAGTGCCACCTCCACCCTCGCTGTGCCCAGCCCTGGTGTCCCCCAGCGTGGGGGGATTGTCCCAAAATCGGGGAGGGGGGGTCTGGGGGGGCTTCTCCTGTCCCCGTCCTCGGCTCAGCCCCATCCTGGCTGTGGCTGGATGAGAAGGGAAACTGAGGCACGGGGCTGGTGTGTGGGAGGCAGCTGGGGATTTTCCCTTTCCCGTGTGCCCGTGTGCCACACCCTGTGTCTGTGTCCCACATTCTGGGGACACAGACCTGTGCCACACCCATGTGCCACCCCCCGTGTGCCCGTGTGCAATCCCGTGTCCCTCTGCCACACCCCGAGTGCTCCTGTGCCACATCTCATGTCACTGTGCCACCCCCCGTGTCCCTGTGCCACACCCTGTGTCCCCCTCTGCCACACCCATGTGCCACACCCCATGCCCTTGTGCCAATCCCGTGTGCCCTGTGCCACACCGGTGTCTCTGTGCCACACTCTGAGTGCTCCTGTGCCACATCTCATGTCCCTGTGCCACCCCCTGTGTCCCTGTGCCACGCCCATTCCCATGTGTCACACCCCGAGTGCTCCTGTGCCACCCCTGTGTCCCTGTGCCACACCCATGTGCCACACCCTGTCCCTGTGCCACACCCCATGCCCGTGTGCCAATCCTGTGTGCCCATGTGCCACACCCATGTCCCTGTGCCACACCCATGTCCCTGTGCCATCCCCCGTGTCCCTGTGCCACCTCCCGGGCTGGCATTGCCGTGCCAGGGCAGCCCCGGGGCTCTCGGGGGGTCTGGGTCACTCTGAGTGCTCCTGTGCCACATCTCATGTCCCTGTGCCACCCCCTGTGTCCCTGTGCCACACCCCGAGTGCAACCCCTGTGTCCCTGTGCCACGCCCATTCCCATGTGTCACACCCCGAGTGCTCCTGTGCCACCCCTGTGTCCCTGTGCCACACCCATGTGCCACACCCTGTCCCTGTGCCACACCCCATGCCCGTGTGCCAATCCTGTGTGCCCATGTGCCACACCCATGTCCCTGTGCCACACCCATGTCCCTGTGCCATCCCCTGTGTCCCTGTGCCACACCCTGTGTCCCCCTCTGCCACACCCATGTGCCACACCCCATGCCCTTGTGCCAATCCCGTGTGCCCTGTGCCACACCCATGTCCCTGTGCCACACCCATGTCCCTGTGCCATCCCCCGTGTCCCTGTGCCACCTCCCGGGCTGGCATTGCCGTGCCAGGGCAGCCCCGGGGCTCTCGGGGGGTCTGGGTGGGGGGGGCTGTTCCCTGTGCCCCCACTTTGGGGAGGTCACGGGGCAGGGGTGGGCTCAGGGCTGGGCTGGGCAGCAGGAATGGGGGGGTCACCCCAGGGACGGGAAATTGTCACCCAAAGGATGAGAAATCGTCACTCAAATGATGGGAAATTGTCACCCCAGGAACGGGAAATTGTCACCCCAGGGATGGGAAATTGTCACCCAAAGGATCCGAAATCATCTCCTGAGGAGCAGGAAATTGTCACCCAAAGGATGGGAAATCATCATCACCTCAGAGATGGGAAATCATCACCCAAACGATGAGAAATCGTCACTCAAATGATGGGAAATTGTCACCCCAGGGATGGGAAATCATCACCCAAAGGATCCGAAATCATCTCCTGAGGAGCAGGAAATTGTCACCCAAAGGATGGGAAATCATCATCACCTCAGAGATGGGAAATCATCACCCAAAGGATGAGAAATCGTCACTCAAATGATGGGAAATTGTCACCTCAGGGA